GGTATGATTTGATCCATTCATTAGCTTTGCCAGTTATTCCATAGAAATTTAATTTCGATAGTAAGATATCATGATTAACACAATCGAAAGCTTTTGCTAGATCACAGAAAATCCCTCCCACAATTAATCTGTCATTGAGAGCACTTAAAATATCGTTAGTTAGTTCATAGGTTGCTTTTTCTGTTGTTAGGTCTTTCCTAAATCCAAATTGCTCTTTGACTAATATGTTGTTAGAATTTAAGTGTTCAAGTAGTCTATTATACATAACTTTTTCAAAGACTTTTGAGAATGAAGTCGATATGGATATTGAGTATGAGTATGTTATTCCTGCCTTCACATAATGGGTGGTATAAGGGTGATGCTTTTTAAATGAATGGCTCATTTTATTTGAATGAAACTGAAATATTGGGTTTGAGGTTCTCACAGCAGTGGCTATGAAAAGTACTGTCTCTTGGTTATTAATGCCATTTATTTTGGAGAGAATCTGATGTTTCGAAGGAATATATATCTCCATCTTCAGGCTCAAAGAGTATGCCAAGCAGGAAACCGCCAGAAGCAGGCAAACCATGCATAGAATATCTAGTCTGATAGAGACCAGTCCAAGCCTAAAAGGGACTGTGAGGGACCAAATGGAAAAGTGGCCATTGCCCGTAAGGGGATGGTGGTTCACTGAGAGAAAAGGCACAAGGATATGATTAAAAGTACAAGTAATTTTTTAATATTCAACTTTGAAAATATTTTTTATATAATAAATCAATTGAACTGAATCTTTTGGAACACATATTTGGTACATTCTACGTAATTTATGTAATTTGTATTCAGATCAGAGAGGCTATTAATTTTTATCATTTGTTGAAACTGTATTTTTCCACCAATGTATACACTGTTTATGAAGTGAAACATCTACCTTTAGAACAGCGATATCATTGTACCAGTAGGCTTCATTTATATAGTCCTCATGATAAGCCCACTCGACAACTCTGTGCACAGTACCTCCTTCATAGTTAGCATTGGATCCTGCACGGACACTGTAATCGCCAACGAGGTTCCTGCAGAAGGTTTCAGGTTCTCTTTCAGAGCAGACAGACAGACAGACAGACAGACAGACAGTATAAATTCTTAGATTCTAAAGGGTTCTGACGATGGTAGATGATACACAGAATTAGTGGGGTTTTGGACTTTTTCCATCGTCCAGAATATTAGGTAATAGAGGACATGACGATTCGGAAACTGGATCTTTTTCCATCTTCAGGTGAGAAAGGAAGACACCTACTCAGTTGGGCCCCTTATAAAGAGCTAATCTCAATCACCGATTGAAGATGGAAACAGATCCAGTTTCCGAATTGTCATGTCCTCTGTTACCTAAAATTCCGGATGATGGAAAAAGCCCAAAACCCCAGTAATTCTGAGTATAAATTCTTATACAAAAATATGCACAAACATACACCAAACAGGAGTGTAAATATTTACTCCAATTTGAAACATCCTCCCCCCTCCCTCTCGTTTCTTAAAAAGTTACATATCTAACTTAGCTTTGTATCCATTGATTTCATGTACTTTACACATCTATAAATGGGGAATGAACCAGAAGAACACAAAGATACACAATTATATCAACATCCACATCTTCCATTTATAATAACATATACACACAATTTAAACTAAAATCTACAATCACATAGTTGCCCCCCCTTAAAATGAACAAAACAGGACACTACAACCACCATGTAGGCTACTATTTTATATACATTTTATTACTATATATGCATTTTATACAATTTTAATAATTCTATAACATTGCAAATTTATTTTTGTATATTCACCTCTAACACGTACACAACTTTTAATTTATGACGTTGAAAAATAGAACAATTTTCATCACATAATTCAGCACAAATGTAGTATATTTATTGTCTTTATTCATACACACCCGATGATGGTCAAAAGAGACCGAAACATGTAGTGTGTTTTATATAATAAACTGATTGAGTAATGGTTTTCATTTGATCTGAGGCATTTTATTATACAGTAATCAAAACGTTGTTGTGTGGCAGCACTAAAACTTTAGTAATATTTAGCGTTGAAAGTATAGTACACTGCAAAAGGCCTAAGTTGTGTCTTATATTTTGTTAAATATACTCCACAATTAAAAAGGTTTCAAATAAAAGGTGTATTTCTTAACGAGATCTTTGACATATATGCCTTTTTTCAATGAGAAGCCATTTTGAGAAATTATGAAATGCAATTTGAGATTGATGAAAATTAGAGATAGTATAGAATAGAAGCTGCGAATATATTGAATAAGCAGTCGCGGACAGCCGACAGAGGGTGGTCCTCCAGCTTTGGGATTGGGCATGGGGCTAACAACTCCTCACAGTAAAAAATCATTATGTTATGAAAATGAACACAGAGCCTCGGACCTGGATGGATTCCTTGGATAAACAACCTAAGCTAATGAATTAGAGAGATAGGATGGGATGGTATGGATGGGATAGATCTGGCTCAGGATAGGGACCAGTTAAGGGCACTTGTGAACACAGTAATGAACCTTTGGGTTCCATAAAATGCTGGGAAATTCTTGAGTAGCTGCTGAATTGGCAGCTCCTCCAGAAGGGCTCAGCTCCATGAGTAAGTAAGTAGGTAAGTAAGCAGTCACAACATAGTGATGGGAGTGAATAGTGTTGCTTCATTCAGGGCACCGAAATCCAATGTGGTGTTAGAAAAATAAGCAACTTTTGTAAGGTCATGTAAAACAAAAATATAGCACTTCCAATAAATCTATATTTAGCTTTTGGTTTGATGGTAGTAACTAATGAACTAAAAGTGCTAAGCATGTAACATTATCTGTGGAGGCAGTGTTGCAAACATCCTTACAAATTCTGTATCCTATATTGTATATATTAACTGTCACAAACATGGAGATGCTGTAAAACTTTGAGTTTATATCAGACAAGGTCTGTGTATTGGGAATCCATCATAATGGGAATTATGTACAGGAACACTTCACAAAATTGTGTAAGTTTGTTATTTTAATTTAGGGTGCTTGTTAGCAGACACATTGAAGCCTCTGAAAGAATGTTCATCTCATGTTGCTGTTATTCATTGTCTCCTACTGATGTTTCCATCAGGATAGGTTTTCATGTGACAAAGCCTTCCATTTTTCAGTATCTCCCAATAAGATCATTTGCACACTCTTTCTCTTATATTGTTTTACATACCCAAAGATACAGTGAGCAGCTGTAAGGATGTACTCTGTTGACAGAAGCGTAGCTCCACAATAATGTCTGCCAGCATACTGTAACGACACCTGGAAATGTGATACATAGTTCATGATAGTTAACTTCTTCAGCGTTATGATCAGAAATATGTTATCAAATTAGTGCTTTAGCATTATTTCTGCTTGAAGAAAAAACACTAAATGAAAATTCTATGCAGTATCTGTACAGTAGTTACATAACATTTTATATTTTTATATCCTGCAGATCACACAATTAATTCTACATTCTGTGGAATGGGTTCTTGGTTACCTTTTTTTCAGGAAGTTTAATTTTGAAAATATTTCTTTAGTAAATATTACTTAATCCTCATGTATCTTATCAGATATTCACACCTACTTTTACCAGAATCATAGTCAAGTGGCTAGCACACCTACACCTATTTTTTTTTTGGGGGGGGGAGATTAGTTCAAATCTCAGCTTGGAAATCAGCTGTCCTTGCTGGATTTGTATGGGGTCCCCAGTCCCTCCAGGCATGTGCTTGTGTAATGCCTCAAATTATGCCATGACTGCTTCCTTCTACATCCATTCCAATTTGTTATTCACAAATCGTTTATCTTTTCATGCTGTGTTGTTTGAGCTCCTGAGAGCATCAGTAAATAAACCATAAATAAATTAATAAAATACTACTTTAGGTATTAAGCGTCAAGCCATGTAAATTTCTGGGGTGTAAATGATAACTAGCATGATTAGTAACAGCATCTTGAAATTTTGTATGGTAATAGATTTTCAAAAAACTTCTGTCAAGACAGTTGTGTTCTACAATTCAAAATAATGTGGCAAGAAAGTGAAATGTATGCTAGTTTATGCCATGATGGCACAACTGATGAACCATCGCGATAAATCTGTCGTTTCTATCAAAATACGTTTAAAGCAATGGATGTCTGTTTTATTAGAAAGTATATACAGAAGTGTATCACAAAATTCGGTAATTGATTATAATTCTGAAGAAAGCAGTCTTCTGGGATTTGGCACCATGTATATGTGGTGTTAACCGACGTTTCGGAGGAACGTATCGCCTCCATCTTCAGGGTAGAAGGAAAAATATAATAAATCCGCAAGTGAAGAGACCTTGAGAACCGGTAACAGCAGTCTGCTTTTACCGGTTCTCATGGTCTCTTCGCTTGCGGATTTATTATATTTTTCCTTCTACCCTGAAGATGGAGGCGATACGTTCCTCCGAAACGTCGGTTAACACCACATATACATGGTGCCAAATCCCAGAAGACTGCTTTCTTCATAGTCACTGCCGTGAAAGCCTCAAATCTTACAATTATAATTCTTGTTACCCTCGTGATATAAACTGAAAGATTTGAAGGAAATGAAGTACTCTAAGCCCCTTACACAACTTCGTGTCTCTGTCAAGTTTTTAAAAATATGTATATTAGATTCCCTCTGATGTTTACATTAAGCAGAAGTAAATCATAAATAAATAAATAAAATGTGTATATTAGATTAAATTCCGTAAAACCAGATATCACTGAAAACTGTTATCACGTAACTACCAATAAATACTAATGGAATGACAAGTAAACTAAATCATTAAATCTCCTGAAACCACATAATAAAAGAAGTAAGAATAATAGCATGAGTGAAGAATATTTTATGCTGTCATGTTTCTAAACAATGTCTTTCACATATCTAATGTAGTGAACATACAAACTATTATGAGCCATTCACAGTTCTTGTAACATTGTGCTAAATTTATACTGATACTCACCTGAAATGGGAACTCTCCGTCTTCAGCCTTCTCACCATTTACAATTTTCAAATTTCGGGCCAGATCTACAAAGACTCCCTGTATTTTACTGTGGGCCCCTGCGGCAAGATAAGATTAAGTTTATTACAGTATTCACATATTTTGTTCTGTTCATATTGGAATTATGAAATTAGTTGTGCAGCTGTTGATCATGGAGCAGCTGTCAAATAACCGGACTGATATTTTTCTGACTCCATGTGGCCTTGGCAACAGCGAGCGGGGTAACATATTAGCCTGTCCTCTCCTCTCCATCAACCCTGCTACTTCCAAGGCCATACAGCCAACAGTGTGGTAGCAGCCTTTGTTTGAAGTGGACCATGTATCTGAGCTCCGTCGGAATTATGTTAAGTGTTGAAGTAGAGCAACATGTCAATGTGAAATTCCTCGCAAAATTTAGAAAATCCGCTACAGAAAGATACAGTTTGTTGATGGAAGTTTATGGTGATGCATGTCTGTCTCGCACTCATGTTTTTGAGTGGTTCAAAAGGTTTAAAGGGAGAAGGAGAGATATCGAAGACGATCTGCGTCCCAGTCGGTCTTGCATATCAGCAACAGATGCTAACATTGAAAAAGTCCGTGAAATTGTTCAAAAAAATTGTTGCCTGAGAATTCGAGCAGTTGCTGAATTAGCTAACATTGATAGAGAAAGTGTCCAACAGAGTTTATATGAACATTTTAATATGAAAAAAGTGTGCTCAAAGATGGTGCCAAGAATCCTCACTCCTGAGCAAAGGGAACTTGAATGAACATTTGTGCTGACACCCTTCAAAACATTGAAAATGATCCAAACTTTTTAGGAAATGTAATAACTTGCGATTAATCATGGTTTTTTTTTTAAGTATGACCTGGAAACTAAACTCCTACCCATGTGTTGGAAGAATCCCAGGTCACCTAGAAAATGAAAGCACGGAAGAGCGAGCCAAATTTAAAAGCAATGATGATTGTTTTTTTCGATATCTGAGGGATTGTTCATATTGATTGGGTGCCTGAAGGTCAGACCGTTAATCAGGTCTACTATAAGGAGGTTTTGACAATCCTTTGTTAATGGGTGAGAGGAAGAAGACCTGAAATGTGAGAAGAAGGGCTCATGGATTCTTCACCATGACAATGCGCCAGCACACAACGCACTGCCTGTCAAGATGTTTCTGGTGAAGCTCAAGATCCCCATGTTGGAACATCTGCCCTACTCACCTGACCTAGCCCCATGTTACTTTTTTTTTGTTTCCAAAGATCAAGTCTGCATGAAAAGGAACATGTTTTCAATCCGTAGATGCAGTGAAGGGAAAGGTGATGGAGGTACTGAAGAAGCTATCAGGAAAGGACCTGCAGCATTGCTTCCAACAGTGGAGCTGTGGAGGGGTCGGGGAGGGGACCACTTTGAAGGTTGTGTGATTAGTTGAATAACAGATTTTAGAGCATCAGTTCGGTTATTTTATAGCTGCTTCACATATTTTCTGCTGAAGAAATTCCTTTTAAGCATCTGGAAGACCTACTATAGCAAGCACAATTTCATAATTCTTAAGGAAGATGAAACATATGTTGCCCAGGGAAGAGGTGGAAGGAATTGTTTCACAGGCCTTGGAATGCAATTTTGCCCCATCCCTGTTAAAGCAATATTTGCACAGTGTTGCATAACATTAAAGCACAGTAATGACTTTCCTCTGTCTAGCTGTCTATATCAGTGTTTCCCAGTTTAATTTGACCATGGAACTTGTCACATTTGGAACGTTTTTACAAAACCCATAATAGAAAGATAAAGATAAAGATATCCCTATAACAGGCCATGAAGGCCCATAGGTTTGTGAGACGTCAAGGTTTCCACATTTTCTCTAGACAGTCGGCTTACAGGTGACGGTAAGTTGTCAGCCTTACACACCCGCTGCCCTTTAGCCCCCATGAAGATTCCTGGTATTCATTTCCATTAGAGGCTGAGTCAACCCCAGGACCATAGTGCACCTGGAAGGATTAAGTCAATTGAAAAAATCCACCTCAGTGGGACTTGAACCCAAGATCTTCTGGCTTGTAGCATAGTGCCTCAACCAACTATGCTACTGCATCCCCCTTATGGAACCCCTAATAAAATTCTTATATATGAAGCTAAAAGTAGTACCACAAATGAGTAATGATAATTATAAGTAAATGTTAAAAAATGATATGAGATTACACCTAATTGTACATATTTAAAAACATATCACATTCCATGTATATGAAATATAAAGTGTAAAAACTAGTATGCCACATATATGCAATTTTCAATGTGAAGAATGGTTTCTCTTTCTTTTGTTCTTTACAAATTATTTTATGAAGAAAGCCATCTACTGGTATGTGGCTCCATGTAGATATTATGTTAACCGACGTTTCGGAGGAACGTATCGCCTCCATCTTCAGGGTAGAAGAAAAAGAAAGAAAATCCACAAGCAAGGAACAGATTTTCTTTCTTTTTCTTCTACTCTGAAGATGGAGGCGATACGTTCCTTTGAAATGTTTTTAACACAATATCTACTCGGCGCCACATCCCAGAAGATTGCTTTCTTCATAGTCACTGCTGTGAAAACCTCAAATCTTAAATTCTTTTTGTGTTTGGCTTGATATTGAAAATTTGAATTCTTAAATCTGGCACTGCATGTAATCTGTTTGTCATGTTTTTATATTGTAATGTGATTTTCTCATATAACCCTTATTTTCACTTCTTAGCCCTCAAGGGTTCTGGGGAAACACCAGTCTACATGTTTCATCACCAAATAAATCAGTTGATTTTGATGAAATTTAATGTTGGCGGGATTGACAGTAGAAATCACTGGCAGACGTTACTTTGATTTGTATTAAGATCATGATCTTCTGACATGTGGTACCATACAGTTTAATAGATTCGTACCAACGTTTTGGAGGAACATGCTGCCTCCTATTCAAAGCAGAAAATGTAGACAATTTCTTCCATAACATTGCTACCTATCTACCAAATTACACAGCATTAAATCCCACAAGACCACAATCTTAATATTCACTGCTGTGAGAACATCATGTAGCATGTAAACATCTGTGTTTTTGTCGTGTAATCCCTACTTTACGTGAACCACGCTTATCAGTTTCCTTAAAAATGGCTTGTTATACAAACATTTATTACATTAAATAAAATATAGGGCTCATTGAGATCTATTGTTTTGTTAGATAAATATTCAGACTTACCCAGACACCCAAGCACGAGTGTGGAAAAAACTGCAAGAAAAAGCTTCATATTGCTAGTCTGAGAAGCAAAGACACTTAACAGATACTTATATGTAATGTGAATAAGATAAAATCTAGCTTTGAATTAGGCACTTGACTTCATGACATCAAAAATTATCAAGGCAATCAAATTATCGGATTCCAGTGATAACCATTTTTCTTGAAATGATAAACTGTCTGCCAAAAGGCTGAAGTTATATTGATGAACTTTTTATTTCAATAAATACAACAGGATTTTCAATAACATTCCCATACAAACTCTTTTTCCTAGTATGAGTTAAATTACTGTGAAAGAAGGTGCATAATATGACATATTTAATATCTATTTTACTGTTATGATTTTTAAATATCACCTTTCTTATCAAAATACATATTTCAATATGGCTGATGATGTGGCTCATATTTAAATGCAGTATCTCCCAAATACAAGTCTAGAGCTGCACCACTTCTGGTACCCCAGTCTGTTCAGGGTCATCAGGTAATCACCATTTAACAAATAAACCAAGAAACTGACTCCACAGGGCTGAGTCTTCAGAAGGCAGCAGTTGCTCAGCTACTCAAGAAATTTCATGCATTTCTTGGAGACTAAAGAATTGGTACCATGTTGACACAAGCCTGCCATAATGTATCCAGTCAATGCCCTCCCATCCTGTCTCTTTAAGATCCACTTTAATATCCTCCCATCTAAGTCTTGGTCCTTCTTATGGCATCCTTCCTACAGATTTTCCCACCAGAGCTCTGTGGGGACTTCCCTACATGCCATGCTCATCTCATCCTTGATTTAATCAATGTAATAATATTTGGCAAAGAGTAGAAATTATGTAGCTCCTCCTTATTGAATTTTATCCAACCTCCTTTCACTTCATTACACCCACGTCCAAATATTCTCCTCAGGATTATGTTCTCAAACACCCTCAGTTGCTTTTCTTCCTTTAACATGGAAAGCACCAAGCCTAATACCCATACACAACTGCAGGAAAAATTGTGACTCAGTTACCTAGACCTGTGAGCAGCAAAGCAAGGTTTTATACATTTGGCTTTTACTTCCTTGGTGATTCTGGGACAGCCGGTGCATAGAGTCACATTTATGATCTCCTGAAAATTTGTGACACGGTGCTAAAAGTTTACTTTATCTCACTTGGAGAATGTATTGTGCTGTTTCAGCAATTTTATTTGGCAAACCAGACAGAAATATAGCTGTCAGACTTCTGTATGAAATATTTATTATAAAACTGGTTATTATTATTATTATTATTATTATTATTATTATTGTCACATGCAATTATCCAGTTTTAGTCTGAACCATTTGAATGTGAATGCTAATCCATACTGATTCAAAACTCATTATATTTAAATCATAAACATGCCTATAAATTATGCATGAAAGATTGGTTTTATGTATTAACAATTACCAACATGAAGACAGTCTGAAACTTTGAGGTTCTATTACACAAAGTTAATGTAGAGGGAATGTATGCCATTGGAAATTACGCACAAAAAGCATTTGAAACACATGTAGGTGTTCAGTGTACATGTAATACATTCTCGTTTGGCTTTCCTGTGTTCAGTATGTTTTACATAAATAACTGACCTGAAATTCTAGATGTAAACATGAAATTATTGCTGTGACTTCCAGATCTTCCCATGCAGTATTACAGCTCATAAATTATGTATGGGCATGCAGTAGCATAGTTGGTTGAGGCATTATGGTACAAGCTGGAAGGTCATGGATTTCATTCTTGTTAAGGTCATTGGATTTTTTCAATTGATCTAATCATTCCAGCCACACTATGGCCATGGAGTCAACTCAGCCTCTAACAGAAATGAGTACCAAGAATCTTCTTGGGGGTAAAGGGTTGCAGACAGATAAGGCTGACAACCTCACCACCATATGTGAGCGTATTGTCTAGAAAATGTGGGAGCCTCGACGTATCACAACCCGATCAGCTTCCATGGCCTCTTACAGGAATAACTTTACCTTTTTATCTACATGTATACCTTACAAATTGTGTTTATGAAGCCACAGACATTCCTAAATATAAAAGTGTGGCAATTGTAATTATCTAAAACACTGCAAATGTTACATTTAATAGGTTACCTGATGTGATTCTGAATGTCTGGGACTTAGGTTTGTGACTTTATAAAGAACATAATCCAGTCATAGTGTGTAATGACAATACACTTCTACTGTCCACATTTTCATAGTGTCTCTGGTTGCATAGTTCAGGTCCTTAATTGTACCTGGTTTATGAGTAAGTGTCCATCAAATTCCTTCATATAAAATATTTGTGCACGTGATTGAGAAATAGTAAACATGTAATAAACCTGTGGGAGTTGCCTGCATGTACTGTTATCTTGTTTTACTTCTTTTTTTATTGTCTTAGTAGATTAGAGAAGTTAATGCCCAATTGACCTTGAAAGTCCCCTTTCCAGCATCTTGGTATTCCAATAAGTATTTTACCTGCAGGGTTATCATTCTTCCTTTTATCTCCCACTCTATCTATATTGTTTTTATCTGGCAAATAAATGGATTAATCAAGGCCTGAAGCAATAAATCCTAGTACAGATGCATTAAATACATGAGAAATAATCAATCATGGGTGATAGATATAAGATATAGTTTGGAAAAACCAGAATGTTTCTGTTTTATTTTAAGCTACTTTACTAAAACGAACAAAGCAATTTAAGACAGCTGTGTCTTTGATTTCTCCACTGTTAAAAAAACTCACTGAGTGACATCTGTGATACTGTATGCAGTTACTATGCTGCCTGACCATGGTGCTCATGGTTTCATCCATCTGTGGCTTTCGAACTAGAAAGTAGGCTGATAAGTAATTGAAGTGAGCATAGATTTACCATGATGAAATAATCTAATCATAGCTTATCACATATGTAATGTCTTTTAGGAGTCAGCATGACAACATATGTGGGTCAGCAGCCCCTTCTGTAACTGAGGACTTGATGCATTGTTTATAAGGAACCAACTGCTAAGAGCGCAGAAGGGTTTCAGGTTCAAACCTAACCATTGCTGTTAATGTCAAAATAAAAGAAGATAATTATTCATTATAATACAAGGTTTTTACTGGAAAGAGCTCTGTGCAAGACCTACATGTAGATATGAGAATAACATCAGAGAAATAGGATTTGGGCTGGATTCCATTGGCTCTTTACAGGACCCAGTGGTGGGGCCGTTTGTATGCATAACAATGAATAAAAGAGTATGTCTTGACCCTAAGAGCCAGTTTGCATATTGACATGAAATATGTTTCGGATGAAGTGTCCAATATAACTGTGGTGTAACTTATCACGTTCCGTCAGTTCTAATTCTTACAAGAGGCTGATGGAGATTATTTTGCAGTCTGGTATTTATTCTATGAATCTCTGAATTTACTATGAAATTGTTTCTGTTTTTATCACAAAGAGCATAAGAGATAGTATGTACTGAGATACCAGGGGTAAGATTTCTAATTCTCTAAATAAGTTTCTGCATCCCAACATAATTCCAATTATATTATTTTGCGTTTTTTATTATCAACGACCAACACTGGGTTACCGAGCAACAATTGATTTAATTTCCAAGGTAACAGAGTCAAGGTCAGTCATGTACTAAGAAGTATATACAGTATTTTTGGATTAATTTTATATAAAGGTAAAATGTAAAGTTGTGCCAGTGCTTACTTAAGCACTGCACCATGAAGATGATAATGTATAGGGATGTGGGGGTACAACACCATGCCTTATTTTGACATTGGCATTTGATGTAGGTGAGTGGTCAGCTTCATGCCCAAGCTGCTAATCCACATTGGGGTCTGGATGTTCAGAGGTCCCTCAATGCCACCTTTCAAGATTGCTGGATTGGATGTGGCAGACCAATTCGGTGGCCACCACGTTCACCGGACCTCACTCTGCTAGACTTCTTCCTCTGGGGTTACATGAAGGACTGTGTGTTCGTGCCTCCAGTGAATGACCTCCCAGATTTATGAGCCCGCATCCGTGAAACGATTGCTACTGTAGCAATGGACATGTTGGAAAGAACGTGGCAAGAAATTGAATACAGATTGGATATTGTTTGGCTACCAATGATGCACATGCAAAGGTTTATTAGTATGTCGAATACAATTTTTTGAGTTCTTGTAGTTCCTGTATCTTCATTTTCCTACCATTCATACTTTCTGTTCTAATATCTGATAAGATGTGGGAGGTTTGAATGGAACATTCTATATGATCATAATACAGGGTGTTCAACCATCGAGGAAACCTGGCAGCAGCACTGAGCGGGAACAACATTCCTCATTGTTTGAACACATTGTACTATACTGTACTATTTAAATTGAAACTCAAACAAGTCACATGCTGTGGTACAGAAATAAAATCATAAACTGTTCTGCCTGTGTAATGGATTTTTCAGCTTTCCTCCTGACATTCAAGTCACTGGCACCCTAGTCATTAGGCTTTGGCAGTCTCACCATAGGTCTACTGGTACAAGCATGCAGTATTCGTCAGCAGAACAAGTGTTTATTCTTGAATATATTGTTGTTATTGTTATTGGAGAGGGTGGGTTTCCCCATGCACTTAGACCAGATATTGGTCCATTGTGCGTCCCCCTGTGATATTCTACCAGTCTCTATACCCTACTGGTACTGGTGCATGCCATCAGTCCCGACTCAGCCAGCAAGTTCGGCCTCTACTTGCTCAGCGGTATCTCGATCCTTCCCCCATCTACCAGAGGCGTTAGAGACTACTGTTGGGCAGGAAATGTCCTGAATTTGGCTCAGAGGTCCCCTTGAGACATAAGGTTCTTTTACATGCCGTAAAGCTAATTCTTGAATATAACTTTATATCCAAATCATTTGCTGCTGTTTGTGAAGCATTTAGCAGTGCAGACCATGACAAGAAGACAAAAAACAAGAATCAGACATGTATCTTCTGATCCAGTTCATTTCTTTGCAGGATTGAAACTGAAAGAGACTGATGGTTTCAGCATTGAAGGTAACTGCCCACATTGTGAACACAACAGCTGTTTTGCTGCAAGAGTCGTTAGGTAGGCACATCCAGCCTTCCAAGCCTTACCCCATATGATGTTTTTCTGTGGGAATTTCTCAAAGGAAAATTCTCTTCACAGAATCTATGAAGCCTGGGGGAACTGAGACACACTACTGACCACACTCTTGCCAGCAGTGACCCACCAACACTTCGCAATCTCACAGAACATACTAAAACAGGTGGACACTTATCTTTAGAAGACTGTGGACATCTTCATGATCTGCTGTAAAGCTGTTACATAAGTTGCTGCAAATAATAAAAACTAACAACTCATTTGTATCCTCATATTGATGACACTTGTAAGCTTGCGTGTACTGTTGTGTTTTAAATGGTACAATCTGTATAAGCCACAGTAGTACATTCAGTACACACACACATCCTTTGTGATATTGTAGTTATGAGGCAGGGTCGTAAAATAGTATATACTACAAAATTAATAAATTAATTAATTCTGTCCAGTGTGACTGAAATGAAACAAATCAGACTTACAGTATATACTATTCCAATATAGTTCAGTATAATGTATAGTATAGTACAGTTCTGTAGTTTAGTGTACATAAGTACGTATATAATACAGTGCAGTTACTGCCACGAGTCTGCAAGTTTGGCCTCGGTTATTGAACTGTAGGCCAGATGGTGGGTTGGAATGTATGAGTGTTTCTCAACCGTGTTCTTCCACAGTGCTGGATCTGATGTGCTGCGGCAAATGGAGACGACAACCTTCTCCCTTAGCCACCCTATTCGCCAGATCTTACACTCTGCAATTTCTTCCTTTGGGGTTCATTAAAGACAGAGTTTATGTACCACCATTGCCCACGTCCATCCGTGAACTTCGTGACTGGATAACGCATGCACTGAAGGCCATTACAGCGGACATGCTACACTGGGTCTGGGATGAGTTTGATTACCGTGTGGATGTGTGTCATGTGACCCAGGGTGCACACATTGAAGGTTTGTAATTAACACATGAGAAACTTGAACAGTTGCCTCCGCTGACGGTGTGCGTTGTGCCCATGTAAGGGGAGAAATAAATTTTTTATTAACTTTTGAAACAGCGCCTTTCTTTTGTGTATATCCTATATATGCAGTTTTAGTAATGTGTAATTTTGTCTCTTTAGCTCATGCATAAAGCGATCATTATGTGACATATTAGCAGCAAGTAATAAAGAAGATGTGTTACATCAAATCGTTTTGTTTTTATAATCTGAACATAATGACAAGGATAATGCAACATTATTCCATGAATGAATATTATCAACATAATTGGTCATAAATGTGTAAATTTGTAATGTATTTAATTCAGTTAATATAGGTAATTTAAATAAAATTGTATTAATTCAAGTTCTATAGTAAGTTATTTTTAAATTATCTTATTAAATTTCTTACTTTATATTATTATTTATGTTAATCAATTAATGTAAGTGATTTTGATTATGTGACTCATGTAATTTTGTATATGTATCTTTATATATGTATTTTCAAAGGGACCATTTCCACATCCTAGGTTAGTTACCTGTATGGATATATGGAAAATAAAGGAAATTAATGAATGAATGAATTCGTTTCTTGGCATTAACTTTCACAACTCAGTTATAATCGTAAGACATGTTACAGAAGACTAAATTAGAACACTCTACATGGATTAATGTTGCAGAAGAAGTTTTTCAGAACTATACAAGAAACGTGGAGCAGGACAGCAATGTAGGTGGGGCGTGGAGACAACCTTGGCTGTGGATCTTGATAGCTGCTGTGATTACAGTCATTACTATGGCCATGATAACAGGAGCCTACTTGTGTCAGCATCAATGTACTAATCTTATTCTTCTGTCACAACAAGGTATGTTGATTCAGTTCATCTTTCATTAGAGAATAGAACTGGTCTACCATAGTTCAGACAGGCACTGGCTTCTCACTGCAGAGCCTTGTGTTGAAGTCCAGGTGATGTCATATGAGATTTATGGTGGATTAAGTGGCACTTCAACGGGGTTTCCTTTAAGCTTCTTCAGCCTTCTTCTGCTATTCATAATTTCACAAATGCTTCATACCTACCTATTACCGCCTCCAGAGGTGTGTGATGACCTTCAATAGGCAGCGCATTATCACAACTTCAGACCTAAAGTCTGGGTTTTGTCTCTGACCCAGGATGTTGCTGGTTACAGATGGGTAGTTAGTTAGTTAGAATACCGAATTAATTAATAAACAAATGCAGAAGACTATATTCTTGCCACAAATTTCATACCATTTCCAAAAGTACTCAAAAATGTCAATGTTAAATGCTCTTAAAAATTTCAGCCACATAATTAACACAGAGGTTATAACGTAAAGCATGGTCCATAATAATGAGCTTAAAGAAATTATGTAATTTAAAAATAGACCCTTTATATTCTTATTATGTTATAATACTAATGAATATTAACATGATTACTGAATAATAGTGTTCTCAAGTGAAAATCAAATCCATTTCAGGTAATTCCAAAAGTCAGTCTTTCATCCAGTTCCACGAAACAGCCTCATCAACTATACATATTCTTCTAGGCAGAGGTCCTCTGAGGAATGACAGCATGTAAATATTCATTTAAGTGGCGCCACCAACCCTTGACGGCTTGGGAATGCCCAGAGCAGTATCAGTTGTGAGGTGTTCTCTCGTGAGTCAGTTTGAACACCAGCCAGTCTGCTCATGGCAAGCCAACGTGAATTATCGGAGTTTGAACGGGGCATGATAGTGGGTGCCAGACGGATGGGACATTCCATTTCCGAAGTTGTGTGGTCATTCAACATTCCTCGATCCACGGTGTCATGTGTGTACTGGGAATACGTTGTGGAAGGCATTTCCACCCACTTTGGACAGCGCAATGGCCGACCACGGGTGCTTAATGATCGTGATCAGCAGCGTCTAGCTAGAATTGTCCGTGGTAACAGACAAGCGACACTGGCTGAAATCACATCCACATTCAATGCGGGAGGTACCAGACGCATATTCAGCCGGTCAGTGCAGCGTTCTTTAGCTTCCATGGGATATGGGAGCAGAAGACAGACCAGAGTGCCTCTGTTAACACCATGACACCCGACACAGCGCCTCACCTGGGCTTGTGATGTCGCTAATTGGACCCTGGAGGATTGGCAACATGTGGCGTGGTCCGATGAGTCATGGTACCATTTGTTTCAGGTGGATGGTAGGGTTCGGGTGTGGCGCAGACCCCATGAGGCCATGGACCCCAGTTGTCAGCAAGCACCATGCAGGCTGGTGGTGGTTCCATACTGGTGTGGGGTGTGTTCACGTGGCATGAGTTGGGTCCGCTCGTCGACCTAAACACGTCATTGACCGGTGACCGCTATGTTACACTGCTTGGAGACCATTTGCAGCCCTTCATGGACTTCATGTAACCCCACAACGATGGGATATTCAAGCAGGACAATGCACCATGTCATCGAGCCGGAGTTGTCCAGAATTGGTTCGAGGAGCATTCTGGAGAGTTCTGACAAATGGTGTGGCCATCGTGTTTGCCCGACATGAACCAAATCGAGCATTTATGGGACGTGGTGGAGAGGTCCATTCGCACCCAAAATCCTGCACCTACAAATACCAGGGAGCTGTGGGCAGCTATCCAGACGGCATGGCTCAACATCTCTCCAGAGGTCTTCCATCCACTTGTGGAATCGATGCCACATCGAGTTGCTGCACTTCGCTGGGCTAGAGGGGGTCCTACATGATACTAGGTACCTATCCCATGACAGCAAGATGAAGATTCCTGAACAGAATGACTATGAGCATTTCCTGTACATATTCTGCTCTCAAATTCATTGTGAATATAATTCGGACTAGCATAAACTCCGCTGAAATTGCAACAGGAAATTGTTGAGGTTTATATCATTATTGAATTTGGAACATAAAATATACGAGGAGCGTTCTGTATATAATGTCTCCTATTTTTAATGAAAACTACAACAGATACAGAAAGCATAATAACGCTTATACCTCTTCTGAGACACAAAATAAAAATAATATACAAAGAAATATATGACAATCCGACACTGACTTCCTAACTGATAATTCGCCACTGAAAACCAATCCTTGAAAACCACACTTCCTTGAAAGCTGTGGAAGCACAGATCTGCAAGCACAGATCAATATTTCCTCTTCAGTTCTCAGAACAAAGCTAGGCTATGTCATAAACAGTCGTATCTAAACATGAATAGTATCGAAACCAGTACCCTGATAAATGATTTCATTCTTCACAGCTAAGATATGAACCTCTGACATAAACCTGTGTGGGTTTGTTCTGGTTTCAAACCCAAGGTCAAACTGTCAGCACTCCCAAAGACTGCATGTGTCCTGCATCATATATTCGTCCAACTTGGGTTTCTGCCTGCGTCATATATATCTGACATTCAGCTGTTAAAGGTTAATGTGAAACATATATATGTTTCACTGGATCCTATTCAGAAACAGTAAAAATATACAGAATTTTGTAATTTTTGTAATATTCATTTTCATTTGTTATTGTTTCCTGTATGACCTGGTCATTCATATGACATGTTTGCAGGAACTTCTTAACATTATAATGCATTGTGGGAGCTATAATCACTTTAACATTAAGAACTCTGCATTTTGTCTGCAGAGATTATGCAAGGATTACATATGATTCTCAGAATAAACAGTGATTATCTCCCTGCACAGTATTACCAAAGTAATAACTGAAATGGAGACACTGCTTTATGTAAGATAACTGAATTTTTAAGCAATATTCATGCTACAGGGTTTTAATCAAAACTTAATATGAATATTTATCTTTAAACAGAATATTTTATTCACTAGCTCATATTCACTGCCATAATCTGTTGAACATCGAAACAGGAGCCAAGTTCTGTAAGTCATTTAACAATGTATACAATTAAATATATAATATACCCACTCTTGCTCCAATTGTCCTTATAACACCTTCCCATGAACCGCGTAGAAAACACTATTTCCAACAATTCCTCCATTGTTGCATGTGAATTAGTGAGCGACCGCCGCTTGTTGGCGAAGTTGGTGCAAACTTTAGCGGCAACTTTTATACATTCTGTGTTATGCGCTACATATTTCGATCTCACAGGGACATCCTCAGACAACACACTTTTTAAGGAATCCGCTGTATTGTGTACTTTGTCAGTAGTATTCTTAATGTGCGTCACTATTTAGTTTATATTGTGGGATGTCTGTTCTTCCTATCCCCGTATTGCAGCAGCTTTGTGACCCATGAGCGTGCCGCTCCCCTTGGTTGGGTGCACCTTGTGTAGATCTATGTTCCTTATACTCCAGCACACCCAATAGGGCACAAAGCGGCCGCAATATGTGGAGAGGAAGAACACATATCCCACAATGTAAACATAATAGCATAGCACATTAAGAATACTACTGACAAAATACACAATACAGTGGATTCCTTAAAAAGTGTGTTACCTGAGGATGGTCCTGTGATGCCGAAACATGTAGCCCTTAACACAGATTATATATATATATTAATGACATTTTAAACATTTTGATGAACATTCTAATGAGTTAAATGTGGATTAAGACCACCTTTATGGTCTAGTGGTCTGAGTTCCTGGTACAGATCCAGNTCACCCCTACCCTAAAACATTGTGTTAGCATAACGGGACCAAAAAGTGCAGAGCTCGGTTCACACTAGTGCGAAAATAGTGTTACAACTCACCATGTCAAACAAAAGTGGATGAATATTAACATATAAGCCTAAAAAAGCCCCGGTTAAGCCGGAAACCGGTTTATCCGCCCCCAGATAATCGAGAGTTGAATGTATATATTGTGACGTGTTGCGCAATGGAGGACACCCCCTCCCTCCCCAGCAGTCTGTCTGGGTCTGCAGTCTATAGCAGTCTGACGTGGCGGGTGAGTCAGCGCTCAGAGTATACTGTTAATAATCAGTACAATTACTACTTTTACTTTTCTTACATATCTGTTGTATATATATATAGGAATGTTTTTTATGAAGTAACAGATGCCTTGCAAAGATTCCTGCAATACTACTTAGAAAATTTGGTAGTGCGGGGAATCGAACATGGACCTCTGGATCAGTAGCCAAGAACCCGTGGGGCACAAAGCTGCCGCAGTATGGGGATAGGAGGGATAGGCATCCCATAACACAAAAATAATAGCGACATGCATTAAGAATAATAATACTGTCAAAGTGCACAATACGGTGGATTCCTTAAAATAGTGTGTTGTCTGAGGATGTCCCTGTGAGGGCAAAACATGTAGTGCCTAACACAGAATGTATAAAAGTAAAAAAAGTAAAGGTATCCCTTTATGTTTTTTAGCCATGTTCTTTGAAAATTGTAGTTCATTAAGTTGTATTTCATCAGTTTATCACTGACCGTCTATTGTGTGTTCTTGAAAATGACCAGTCATTCATTACATTGTCAGAAATTTTCAGTTGTTGTCAACAGTGACTGATGTTTGTCTTTGAATAAACAGCTATAAAATATCACACAAATAGGATCATAAATGGAAAAAGATAATTATAGCCTTCTTCAAAGTATGATATTGGCATTAATTTTGTGAGACTGGGAAGAAACATAGACACACTCACTCATGATAAGAAGTAGCCTTACAAAGAATTGAACTAAGTAACTTCTAGATACAAATTTACAGCCCAAATGCTATATCACATGAAAATTAGTGGGGCTTTGCCTCCAGGTCCTCATGGTAATAGATCAGCAACCACATGACCAAAGCACTGAAAGAATGCCTCATAGCATTATACCATCCTGAACATCATTCCATGTGACCATGTTTATCCTGCTAGCAGGAAACATGGGATACAAGGAAATTGCTCTGTGATGTCAGGAATGGGGAGAAACTGAAGACACAAGATAATTCCACTATCAGCACATCCTTCTGCCTACACGTTTTCTCGAGTTGAGTGCAACTCTGTTCATCTTCCTNGCGCACACACACACACACACAATACTCTTCCCCCTCAAGAATAAAGTTGGTGGACTCTGGGAATGAAGGGATATTCAAAGTTCTGGGGAACAATATTCCACATATATCCAAAATTAGCAAAGAATATGAAATTAAAGCCCAAAGTTTACCTCTCTTATTCCTTAAGCTTTATTAACATTTTTTACTTTTTTTGGAAAAAAGCTCTGCATGCATATTGTCATGTGTTGGGTATGTCACGTGACAAATAACTTCACGCCATCTTGGATCTAGCGAATATTCATTGTGCTTCGCTTCTACACTCACACACTTCACAATTATTATCACGTGCAGTATCACAATTACTGCTTCCACTGTATCCCGGTGAATACTAGACAGCCTTCGACGTCTACCCAACTCTCTCGTTCATAGGGGTCTCTCTAGTTCTGCTTCCAACTCTCTTATATAGGCATTATACGGACTGGATACCAGACACCATTTCTCATGGTTTCGTTTCTGATGTTTCAACAGTTCGTTGTTGTGCAACAAACCTTCTCTTGTCCGTCTTTGGGAAACACATTCACAGAATCACTTGCTCTTAACACTTTAGTGTTCCCATAGTAATATGGTAAAATACATCTTATGCAATTAGTAATAATAATAATAATAATAATCTGTGGGTGCTACAGTTCGTGATGAACCTTGTCCTCTGTTTTACAATTTCTTAATCATATAGATAGCCAGTAGGACTCCTTGGGTGGGGGATCAGCTTGCTGCAAGGTCGCTTTCTAAACAGGACATCACAAACAGAATAAATGCAGACAAATATCCATGCCTCAAGTGGAAATGGAACCCACAACCACAGTGTTTGAGCAGGTGAAGACAGTTCAAGCCTTAGACCATGCAGCAGCTTTGATCTGCTTTGACTCACCCTTGTAATTACTTACTTACTTACTTACTCATGGAGCTGAGCCCTTCTGGAGGAGCTGCAAATATTCTCCTCAACACCCTGTTCTCAAACACCCTCAGTCTATGTTCCTCCCCTAATGTCAGAGACCAAGTTTCACACCCATACAGAACAACAGGCAAAATTATAGTTTTGTATATTCTAATTTTTATGTTTTTGGACAGCAGATGAGAAGACAAAAGGTTCTGGACTGAATGGTAGCAAGCATTTCCCGAATTCAATCTCCTCTTAATTTCCTCCTGAATCATGTTTTGGTCTGTTATTATTGTTCCCAGATATCTTAATTGTGTCACATTTTCAAAACATCTGTTTCCTATCTTTATATCATGATTTTGCCCTGCATTTTGGTGACAAGACAGTAACATATACTTAGTTTTCTCTGTGTTTACTTCTAGACGAACCTCTTTACTTGTGTCAATTAAAGTTTGTGTGTTTTTCTTTATGATGTCTACATTATCACCCAGTAGATTCAATATAATTCAGTTCTTTATTATTAATGTGCCGAGTAAAGAGCTGCAAGGCCAATTACAGACACAGCACAGTGCAGATGAATGAATTACATTATAGACAGACTTATTAAAAGTCAAATACAAATTACAGGTAAGTACTTGGAAGAAATAATAATGAATAAAAGTAAAAGTAAACAAACAAATAACTGATAATTATAACAGTAATAATAATTTCATTATCATTAAACTAAGTGTTATTACGAATTGAGGAATGAAACATAAATAATCATCGGCATAGGACAACAGCTGATGTATCCCATTTAATTTCAGTCCCACTGACATCAACAAATTAGTAAGTTCTGATTAGGACTATACTCTATAACATGCTCGTACTATTCTCTGAAAAAAACTGGGCGTGGATTTAACGATTTTCCTGTCACAGGTACCCAGCCATAGAAATAAAGAAGTACCCCGCCACTTTAAGATTGCTGACAACTCAGATAATTACTATTACAAAAACTAGGTTGCAGGTGAGTCCCATACTTCTCAGATTCTCACCAGATTATATCTGAGTTTTGTCTGTTTTTACTAGGAATTCTATATGCAACGCATAACATGGAAAATGCTTAAGGGGAAGTTGTATTCATCAGGCTGTCCACATGTTTCAGTTCCAAAACTAATTGGTAAATTTGAATGAAGTTTGGTATGAGCAGTATATATCAGAAATGAAGTGAACTTCAATTTACTTCAGATTGGACCATAAACTCTTGTTTATATTTAAATGATATAATTCTGTGTAGTGTATCTTGATATTATTCAACATTTCCCCCCCCCCAAAATGAAATACATTTTGATTTTGAACATCTAAACGATATTTCTGTGTATAATATTTAATGTTAATCACTTGACTGTGACATGGTTTCATAACATAAATATCAGATATTAAGATCATTTTTTTTTCTTTTCTAAAATGAACAGGTACCATGCCACAGAAGTGTACTCTTATCCAGTAAGTAGCAAGAGGCCTGATGGTAAACGCATTGTCCTTAAAACTGCAGTTAAGGTGAGGGGTGTTCACAACATTTAATTACATTAAAATAATTGCATGCCTAAAATACACTCATATATATTTTAATGTGTTATAAGTTCTTCTTGAGAAACAATTTAGTTAAAATGAATAGCAACTGAGAATGCATATTCTAGTTTATTTTTAACATATCAAAAGAGAGAATGGAATAAAGTACATAACATGAATTTTGTTGTACATTTATTTCTTATGGTACTGTTATCAGAGAATGTAAATCAAGAAGGTAATGATGGGTCAGGTATGTAGCTCAGGTGAGGGAAAAGAGAAAATGGATAAAGAATTTGGGGGGGGAACTAACAGAATATAGCAATTTCAAAATATAAGGCAGCTTCAAAGGATGATATTAAAGTGCATCTTTGTGGGATATTAAAATGCATAATATAGTATGATATGCATTATATTAAACTGACTTAGGAGATCTGAAACTCCAGGTTTAAAGAATTAGTTATTTTCTTTCCCTTTATACAAAATTGAAACAAGAAAGAATTCTTGACAGAGTATAGGGTCCAGTGAAATGAAGCTGTCATCCATTCATAAAGATATTCTCTGCAGGAACAGAATGTTATCATCAGGCGATCTAATTGGTCCTTACTTTGATTCATACTTCCCATTCAACTTATTTAACCATTTTAAAAACAATGGCAACTCTACCTACTACAAGCTTAATATTAAAGAACTTAGAATTTTTCACATATATTGTACTTACATGTTTCGTATTATTCTTAAAAGAACGATTGTTTCCTAGAGCATTAACTGTCTGGTCCTTTCGATGGACATATAGTGCATTTTCTGTGATGTCAAAACTGAATGTTTTAATACTGTTTAAGTGAAATTTGTACATCAAATAGTTAATAAAATACATTGTTTAAAACGTGAAAAATAATCATTAAAATTATTAGAAGTAAGAAGCAAAGAGTCAGGATATAAAATATGGAAAAATATAGTATAAATACAACTATTTGTTGCCTTCAGTCTCTGACATAAGCATATTCATAACCAGGGTTTGACAAGGGTTGGCTGAGTTCTCAAGTCATATGAGAATTCTGCTTGTCAGACGTTTCTTCATAAGAGAAACTTAGCCTACCCACAGTGCTGAAATTGTATTTCACTTTGACCTTTTCTCCACATCTCAGCACTGAAATACAAAGACGCTCATATGCATGTAAGTTACAAATTTTCTGTTTTACTTCTGTGCAGGGAAAGAGATCAGGAGAGAAGAATGTTAATAAATAAACTGTAAGGTTTTTCCACTCATCAGCCTTGTTTTTTTGTATATGACAGGAATGCAGATGTGTGGGATTTTTGCAACACAAGGAAGCAAACAGATAACATTAGTAGCAAGAAACTAAGTTATGAACTTATGGGTTACATGATCTAAATGTGTGATTGAGAGAAGAATGATCTATCATTTGTGATATGTGTGCTTGCTATTTGGAAAGTTGAGATGAATGAAGATATCTAATGTATAATTAGAAAGTTTAATAGTATATTAGATCAGTCTCTTTATCCTCATCACTTGGTTTTATAGCCAGGCCTTGTCACATTATGTAATCGTAGCAACATAATTTCTGAACTTCAAAGGATTGCCTAGCAGGCATGACTTCAGAGCAAAGAAAGATTTTTATAATGAACCATTACAGGCCTGTGAGTGTGGATGCCATGAAGATTCTTTCTGGTGGAGGGTGAGCCAGAAAATTTAATCTGTTTAAGACTTTTCAATGTTCAGCCTAGAATATTGAGGTTATAAAAATAATTAAATTTTTGTTATTAATATTTGACATAGTTCCTTATATTTTTAATTTTGATTCAATTCCAGATCCATGGGTGACAGACGCATGGTTTATTCCTTCCCTTTTAACACTACCCATGCCTATATGTCATATTATACTATGCTACACCTTTAGTTTCTTTATTCATTAACTTTATGTTTGTAACAACAGTGATAATGAGCTGTCTTTCTGCTGTTTCTTCCAAGAATTATTGAGTCTTAAGTTAATCTCCTTATGTTCCTGGTACCACATTCATTCTGTCATTAATTATAACTGCCAAGATATTAAAGTCTTATAAGAGTACTTTCTTTCATGACAGTTCTCCCGACCTGTATAATTTTCAACTTTGAGGACTAAACTAAAATCCCCTAGCCAAGCGTTCATGGTTCCCTAGAAGCCTTCCTGACAACCACAGCAACTATGCAGTTCTGGGTCAAATTTTCATAGTACATTTAACTTCCTGACACTTTCAATATCTTAAGAGACAAGTTAATACATATATCTGTGTGCTCTGCGAAGTGCAAAGGTTTCCAAATACTATCAAATTTCTAAGCTGAAGTTGAAATGCCAAACTTCATTCAAATAAGAGAAACAATCCTGTATATATGTTTTGTGCATATAACCATTTTTTAAAACAGTGTAATAAATTATGAACCTCTATCATGTTTTGGTAACAAGGAGACAGTTTTTCCCCAAGTAATTCCATGTAAAGAATATAGAAAGCTTTTAGGAAAAGTAGATATTGAAGATGGGATGTGATGCCACACAGTCTAGTGAAAAATTACCGCCATTTTATAAGAACCTGCAACTTCCACCTTCAGGTTCAATCTTTCATTCTTCTGCTGTGCAGTTGGAAGCAGCAGGTTCCTCTGAAACACTGGTAACTTTTTACCATTCTACGAGGGTAAGTCAATAAGTAAGTTACAAGTGCATATAGAACTTAAACAAATAAGAGTACTGATTTGAAAAATGCTTTTATTTCTCAACATAATCTTCCTGTACTTTGAGGCACTTGTCCCATTGTTTCACAATCCCCTGAAAACCAGCAGCATAAAATTCTTTGGGCTGCTGTCGGAACCAAGTGGTGATTTCCCTTTCTACAGCTTCATCATTGGAAAAATGTTCAGCCAAAAGATGATGTTTAAGAGGGCCGAGCAAATGGAAATCGCTTGGAGCAAGGTTGGGGCTATACGGAGGATGCTCAAGAACTTCCCACTTGAAATTTCGCAGCGTCTCATTTGTCTTGTTGGCAGTATGGGGACGCGCGTTGTCATGCAAGAACAACACGCCTTTGGTGAGGAGTTCTGGTCACTTCCGTTGAATGGCCTTACGAAGTTTCCTGAGGATGTTACAGTAGGAGTTGGCATTTATGGTTTGTCCTTGAAGCTGGAATACAGTGAGCAGTCTGCCTTCGTGATCCCAGTCACCGCCTGGTTCCGACAGCAGCCCAAAGAATTCTATGCTGCTGGTTTTCAGGGGCTTGTGAAACGATGGGATGAGTGCCTCCATGTAGAGGAAGATTATGTTGAGAAATAAAAGCATTCTTCAAATCAGTACTCTTATTTGTTTAAGTTCTATATGCATTTGTAACTTACTTATTGACTTACCATACTATAAGGAATTATATACCATTAGAGAGAAGTAGTCATGTTCACTGGTGTTAGAAGCTTGAATCTCACAAAACAAAGGTTAACTCATCTAATACAGTAATCTCTTTTCTCCTAAATTGGATTTGGTTAAAATGATGTGGATTATACATGACATATATTTAAACACTATTTTGTACATCAAGTGTTGAGTCTTCATTATCCACAGGCTAGCATATGCTGATCTGATAAAGAAGCAGATTATCACTGTGAGGGAAAGGTAAAGTTGTCCCTGTGCTAACGAATTAAGCACTATGCCATGAAAGCCAACGTGGGAGTGGCTGTATAGATCCACATTTTCTTGACCTCAGCACAGGCTGGAGGTGAGCGGTCGGCTTCACACCCCGGCCCCTTTACCTCTGGGGAAAGAGCCCCCAGTACCCATTGGATAGGATGTTGGGCAGGCCCCAGAGCCAGTCTAGACAATTTGGAAAAAGGAAAATTCTTGACCCTACTGGGACTCGAACTCCGACCCCTCCACCATCCAGCCTGTAGCCATTCACTGTACCAACTGTGCTACTCGGCTCTCCAATATTCACTGTAAAGGTATTGTATCCTGCAAATGGCCAGAAATACATTTGAATTAGTTGAAAAAGATTCTTTGATGGAAGGGAATCTTCAATTCAAAAGATAGCTGGAGAGTGTATTGCTGCCTTGTAAATAAGTATGGAAAGACTTCCAATGGAAAATGAAGCAGCCATCTGTTACTAGTTATTATAATTGCCGAGTTTCAGAATTAGAAGAAATGGTGCATTTTATACATCACAAAAATATAATCCCATTATCATTTTATGTTCCTTCAGTTAAATGTTATAAAAAGTATGAGGCCAGTAAATAATATCCAATTTATATTTCAGACCGTGATCAAATGGAAGAGGGAAGAGGAATGTTGTCAAAGTTACGAAAGAAACAAGCAAGGAATTTGTGTACCGGTCTGTGCTGGGGGCTGCCCAAATGGCTTTTGTCTGTCCCCTGGAAAATGCAGGTGTAACACTGGCTACACATTGGACAGTAAAACTAATAAATGTATTACAGCATGCAACGGTAATTGCAAAAATGGAAAATGTACGGCTCCAAACACATGTACGTGCAACACTGGTTATTCTAAAGATCCAAAGAACAGCAAGAACTGCCTACCAATTTGCAGTCCATCCTGTACTAATGGAAAATGTACAGCTCCAAACACATGTACGTGCAACACTGGTTATTCTAAAGATCCAAAGAACAGCAAGAACTGCCTACCAATTTGCAGTCCATCCTGTACTAATGGAAAATGTACAGCTCCAAACACATGTACGTGCAACACTGGTTATTCTAAAGATCCAAAAAACAGTACGAACTGCCTACCAGTTTGCAGTCCATCCTGTGCCAATGGAAAATGTACCTCACCAAACACATGTACGTGCTACAGTGGTTATATAATGGATCCAAAAAACAGTAAGAACTGTCTTCCAGTTTGCCGTCATCCCTGTGTCAGTGGTAAATGCACAGCTCCGAACACATGTACGTGCAATACTGGTTACATTAGAGACATAAAGAATAACACAAACTGTCTACCAGTTTGTAGTCTGCCCTGTACCAATGGGAAATGTACCGCTCCAAACACATGTACGTGCAACACTGGTTATTCTAAAGATCCAAAGAACAACATGAACTGTCTACCAGTTTGCAGTCCATCCTGTACCAATGGGAAATGTACCGCTCCAAACACATGTACGTGCAACACAGGTTATTCTAAAGATCCAAAGAACAACATGAACTGTCTACCAGTTTGCAGTCAGCTCTGTACCAATGGGAAATGTACAGCTCCAAACACATGTACGTGCAACACTGGTTATTCTAAAGATCCAAAGAATAACACAAACTGTCTACCAGTTTGTAGTCTGCCCTGTAGCAATGGGAAATGTACCGCTCCAAACACATGTATGTGCAACACTGGTTATTCTAAAGATCCAAAGAACAATATGAACTGTCTACCAGTTTGCAGTCCATCCTGCACTAATGGTCATTGCACTGCACCAAATACATGTACCTGTGACAGTGGTTATTCGAAAGATCCAAAGAATAACAGTAATTGTCTCCCAGTTTGCAATCCATCTTGTAGTAATGGCCAGTGTCTTGCACCTAACCAATGCACTTGTAATAATGGATATTCCAAGGACCGGAAGAATGAAACCAACTGTTTACCAGCCTGTAACCCACCATGTAATAATGGAAAGTGTACAGGACCAAACTCATGTATATGCAATCCAGGTTTTACTAAAGATCCAGAGAATGAAAATGAATGTTTACCAATTTGCAGTCCACCATGTAGGAATGGTACATGTATTTCACCAAACATATGCACCTGCAGCAGTGGTTATACTGAAGATCCAAAGAACAATAAAAACTGTTTACCAGTCTGCATTAATAGTTGTATGAATGGCACATGTGTATCCCCTAATAAATGTATATGTAATGAAGGATTCAGCAAGGACCCTGAAGATGACAGAAAATGTTTACCAATTTGCACAGCAGGTTGTATTAATGGAGTATGCGTAGCACCTGAAATATGTTCATGTAATACAGGATTCACTAAAGTTCCTGAAAATAATAAACTTTGTGTACCAGTGTGTTCTTCTGGGTGTGTGAATGGAAAATGTGCTTCACCAAACACATGTGAATGTAATGTAGGCTACACCATAGATCCAAAAAATAAAAATGTCTGTGTACCCATGTGCAAAATTAAATGCAAGAATGGCTCCTGCACAGCAGAAGATACATGTACTTGTAAAACTGGATATGTGAGATCTAATACAGATCCCAATACATGCATACCTGCCTGCCCTTCAGGATGTCTCAATGGACACTGTACTGCTCCAAATGTATGCACATGTGACAACGGTTACTCTGCGGATATTCGTAATGATGCCATTTGTATGCCTGTGTGTCTCCAAGGGTGTGTCAACGGTAACTGCACTGAACCTAACAAATGCATTTGCCATTCTGGTTATATCAGACATCATAAGAATCCCAATAGATGTGTACCAGATTGTCATAAGGGATGTAAGAATGGTATATGCACTTCTCCAAATACATGCACTTGCCATGAAGGTTTCACTTATGATGAGAACAAGGGATGTGTGCCATTCTGTTCAGGAGGTTGTATCAATGGCAACTGCTCTGCATTAAACAGATGTGATTGTTTCACTGGGTGGTCTGGAACAGATTGTTCAATTTATCAACTCAAAGCAGATACAATTCTAAGGTAAGAAAATATTTTTCTTTGCAGATCATTGTCCTTTATAATTGTCACTGAAAATAAATGTAAACAAGTTTGTGTTCTTTTTTTAGATAATCACTGGTGACATTAACATTGACAGTATTTTTATCACTGATTCTTTTATTATTGTGTATAGGTAAAAAAGTAAAGCTATCCCTGTAACAGGGCATGGAGGCCCATAGGGTTGTGAGAGGTTGAAGCTCCCACATTTTCTAGACAATCGGCTCACAGATGGCGGAGATTTTGTCAGCCTTATCACTGGCCAACCCCTACACCACAGGAAGATTCCTGGAACTAATATCTGTTAGAGGCTCAGTCGACCCCAGGGCCAAAGTGTGGCTGGAAGGATTAAGTCAATTGAGAAATCCAATGATATTGGGAATTGAACCCATGACCTTCCAGCTTGTAGCATAGTACCTCAACTAATTATGCTACCATGTGCCCCCTGTGATTGTATATTCTTTACCCATTTAAAAGCTGAATCTCTTCTAAATAATATATTGAAATTCAGTTCATGCCTCATAGAAAACACAGTAAAAAGATAAGATCAACCAGTTAATGTTGTTTAGGAAGACAATCATTTACTATGAGGATCATGTGGAACACATAAATGCACACTGTGAGCAAAATGCAGACTTCAGTATGTTAAAGCATGTGGTACATACAGTAACTGCTGCTATTTAAATAATTACAAGGAGCAACTTCAGTGGAGGTTATGTCTGCCTGTTACCTCGTATCATCACACAAATCAATTGACAGAGTTTCTGTAGTTTGATATGGTACACTTTCACTGAAAGTTGTCAGGAAATTCTCAATGGATATGGAGTTTTGGTATGGAAACTTTTAGGAAAATGTCCTAAGAGACTAACAAGATACGTGACAATGACATTAAGTACAGCTTATGGAGATTGACTGTGAGGTTGGGAGATGGATGGAACTGACTCAGGACTGACACATGGTTATTAAGTAGCCTAGATAACAGCCAACTATTGTTCACCTGGTCTATCTAGATACTATTCAGATGGAATATTTTATACACAAGTGTCCTGAATTGAAGCAGAGGAACTAAAATGCTACCATATTACAGCAACGTGTTATAGATTCAAATTCATGTGTATATAATACCCTAAACAAATTCCTCTCTGCACTGCCTTAAATTACATCTACAGACCTATAAACACCAACAGCCTGCAACAGAATTTGCAAGTATATAAATAGGCCTACATTTCCTGAGAAAATTATATAATTTTTACCTAACTACATATCTCTAAAAATCCTCATGACTCAAGGTACGCGGGTTCAAACCCAGCGGAGGTCATGGAATTTTTAATGGCGGAAAAATTCAGGGAACAAGTCCTCCGGGAGGGACTTTAAGCCGTGGGTCCCGTGTCGTAGCTTTACAGCACATAAAAGAACCTCATGTCTCAAGGAGACCTCTGAGCCAAATTATAGGACATTTCCCGCCCAACAGTAGTTTCTAATGCCTCTGATAGATGGGGGAAGCATCAAGGTACCGCTGAGCCAGTAGAGGCCGAACTCGCTGGCTGAGTTGGGGCTGATGGCACGCACCAGTACCAGTAGCATATAGAGACTGGTAGAATATCAAAGGGGGACGTACAATAGATCAAACTGGTTGCGATGCATGGGGAAACCCACCCCCTCCAATAATAACAATAAATAATATCTCTAAAAATACAATGCTTCATCTCCTCTCTATACTTACACATGAATGAGCAGTGGGAAAGCTCTACAAATTCTTAACTTCAGTATTAGTTGAAGGTGAGTGAATAACATCATGCCTCAGGCATTTTACTCCTGGGGATAGATTTTCCCATACCCATTGGACAGGAGCCTGATTGGAAACCAGATTCTGTCTGGACATAGCAACAGAGAGGAAAATGAATGCCCTTGCCAGGAATTGAATGTAATTGTACCTGTACCATCTGTTTGTTGTATATATCATGTAAGAGGATTCAACAGGGTCAAAAATTACAGTAGCATCTTGATATCTTACTTACAGGGAAATCACAGTAAATAGGTACCCAAAACATCCTTATATTGTGTGGTTCACCCTAGTGTCTCTTCTGGTGTTAACAGTCATTGTAAGCCCAATCATAATAAAGATCATAATATGGACACAAAAAATAAGGAAAGAAAAATGGGAGAATGGTGGCAGTAGTGGTAAGTATTACCATAAAAATTTTTACATATAAAAGACTAAGTCTTGCTGTTCTATCGTTAGATATGTTTGCACGTATTTACAATTAGGAGTAGAAGATGAAGTGGAAAATATGAATGAATGAATGAATGTTACAGTGTGTATGTTTGCCAAAATATTTCCTCCAGGTAGCAGCCCACTTAGTGAAGATATTTATTCTGTCAAATTTAGTATCTTATTATAAATGCAACTGTCTTTTTCAGAACTTTATAAGATACTGAGATTCAGTATTTTATGGTATTTTCCCATTGAAATTTCAGTGGGCTTTATATTTGTGCTAAATGCAAGACTAAGTACCTATCTATACTTAGTTTACTATGCAGATGTAATGAACACAATCAGAGACAGGGTACATTGCGACAAACAGAAATTTAATTCACAGTGAGCTGAAAGCTGTAAGTAAGAATAACATTTATTCTTCTTAACCTGCATACCTTGTAACAGCAATGAGTACCCACTGAACAGGGTATTGTAGAGAGAATGCTGAAGAGAAAGCTGCATCTTTTGATGAGAACAGTGAACAGGAAATAACTGATAGTGTCTCAGCTGTCAAGCTCACAGGACTAAGGTGAATAAATAATGTTGTTGAATACCACATTTCTACAAAATCTGTACAGGCTGGTCCCTAGGCTATTCCTTAAACGATATCATAGTTTTTCTTTCTCCTTCCAATTCAGTCTATAGTTTTCCTAATATAATGTAATTTCTCATATGACTGACCTTGATGTTACCTTGGGAATGAAACTGATTAGTTTTCATTAGACCATTGTTGGTTGCTGAATACTGGACAACAATGAAATCCATTTGACGCATTAAGTCGTTTTTGAGAAAATTGGCGTTTCGTGTTTGGGCCCCAACTGCACCTACCTTTATGTTCCTGAAGATATCAACTATGCAGTTTTACTAAAATATAAGAACTCCATGAGTTACTTAAGTTTAATCAAAATCGTTTCAAAGAAAATTTGGCATTTTGTATTTTGTTGTTCATTAGAAGAGCCCCTGTTTTTGGAGATGGACCTTTGATAGATACACTCTTGAATACCAAATATAAATTAAATCTGACACACTGTTCTGGCTCTATTGGTGGAGGTGGGACACATCCGTATGTACTTATGTACAGACAGACAGCATTTGAGAAACCACTTTTTCATAACCAGGGCTTCTAGGCTGCGCCATACCTCCAGCGGTTACTTGCTGGCTTCTCATTGCAGAGGCCCGAGTTTGAACCAGGGGTCTGGCCAAGTGGGATTTGTGGTGGACAAAGTGGCTCTGGGGCAGGTTTTCTCCAAATACTTCGGTTTCCCTTGTCAGTCTTCATTCCACCAAATTCTCCATCATTATAATTTTGGAGATAGTTTTCTGTCACGCTCTGTACACTTGTAGAGTTAGTTACCAAGTAAAAAGCTGTCTTACATAGATCTCCAGTTAATTCTTTAAATAGAATAAAGACTGAAATAATATAAATACAGTTTGTAAAATATTATGGCAAAAGTTATTATTTTATTAAAAGTGTGTATCAGCTACTTACTTGTATATTAAGAAGTCGGAAAAGAAAGATAAATATCTCACACAAAAAGGAGATAAAGTTCAAAATGAAGTTATTTTTAAATCATCATGAAATGATTTTCTCTGTGATGTGTCAATCCTGCTCTTACTATCATATAGAAGGTGCAATTTTCCCAATTTCCGGGTTCAAACCCGGCGGAGGTCGTCGAATTTTTAAGGGCGGAAAAATTCAGGGAACAAGACCTCCGGGAGGGACTTTAAGCCGTGTGTCCCATGTCGTAGCTTTCCGGCATGTAAAAGAACCTCATATCCCCAAAGGAGATCACTGAGACAAATTAAAGGAAGTTTCCCGCCCAACAGTAGTCCCTAACGCCTCTGATAGATGAGGGAAGCATTATAGACACCACCACCCAAGTAGAGGCCGAACTCGCTTGCTCGGCGGGACTGATGGTACGCACCAATATCGGCAGGGTATAGAGACTGGTAGAATATCATGGAGGGAAGCACAATGGACCAATACTGGTCTAAGTGCATGGGAAACCCACCCTCTCCAATAACTAACTAACTAACTGACTAGATATAATGTCTGTTGTATGCATTCTTAGAAGTATTGTTTTTGTTTTTAGATGTAACAGCGTACCGATCTTCTGTCTCCGTGCTTGACCAGAAAAGAAAAGAAAACACGGAGTTGGCAGAGGATGAAAAAGAATCCATTCTCTTTAGTGAACTACAGCCGAAATGCAATCAGTCACCAGAATGTATTAAAGAGCTGTCGACTTGACATAGGTATTAGCAACAATGTAATGCTGCATCATAATCTTTCAATAAATCATTACATATGTTGAAATCCAACTAGGACAACAAAATTCTTCATATTTACAGGATCTTCTCATAGCAATTTCCATATTTAGAAATTCCATGTTTGATGGGTTCTGATGATTCTTACTGTTTTTACAGAACCCACTACCAAATCCTATCCTGAGCTACCTCAGTCAAGAAAGCACTAAGAAGGAGACAGCTTACATTCACTTATAAATATGTATCACNCCAGCATCTTCTTACGTCTTCTTTCTCGTCTTCTGGTCACTTCTATCCGCCTCTCAATCTTTCCTTCAATAACTTCTTTTAGAAGGCAGTTACTGCGTAAGATATGACCAATCCAATTAGCCTTCCATTTTCTTATTTCATGTAGGATATTCCTCTGCTCACTGACTCTAATTAACACTTCTTCATTTCTCACATAATCGGTCCAACTGATCTTCTCCATCCTTCTCCAACACCACATTTTGAAACTTTCCAGATGTTTCTGATCTACTGCCCTAAGTGTCCATGTTTCAGCCCCATACAGAGCTATGCTCCAAATATAACATTTCACCAGTTTCTTCCTCAAATTTAAGTCCAATTTGCTGGTAAAAAGATTCTTTTTCTTGCTAAATGCAGCTTTTGCCATGGCAATCCTGGATTTAATTTCACTAGTACACCTTCCATCATCTGTTAACAAGTTACCCAAATATTTAAAACATTTCACATTCTCCAGTTGTTTTTGGTCTATCTTTATTGTGACTGGGGTTGGTTGTACCTTCTAATCCAAACTCTGGACGTATACAAAATACGCCCCAGAATACTGTTTGTTGCAACACCCATCAATTTCATACTTTGCCAGCTAGCTTCCAAAACATGTTAAACAGAACTTTTTAAAGTACTTCTTCACATGTGTATGGTGGATACTCCTGCTTTTGGGGCAAACTTCCCTGTGCTACTGCTATTGTCCTGTCCAGTATTTCACTTCATTATTCTCTTCCATAGTTGATTACCTATTTTCCTCACGTTTCAGTCTTGTCCCCATGAAATGGCCCTTGAATTTGAATTTATTTACATTACGTAAATCCAAGGACAGGTTGACACCATATGATATGCAACAAGTCAAGTACAAATACATAATATCTACACAGTAATTGTTTTGCTTGAAAAGTTAATAAGATTATAATACAGTATTAATATTGCCATGCTAATTGGATGCATACAGCACAGTCTGCAAATAAGCAAAATGCTTGGGAATACACTTTAGCTTAGAATTGATACTAGTTACTATTTATTTACATTAAAATATTCATCTATGAAGTAGAAGGAATGAGTAAGTAAGTAACGTTTCAGTGCTGTTTTAAATTGTTAAATATTACGAGTTTCCTTCTTGAGACTTTGAGGGAGGGTATTGAACACTTTGGTGCCAAAGGAGTGAACTCCATTTTGATATAGAGGTGGATTTACTGAATATTCACTGTTACTTTAATTTCATATGCATTATTAGTTATTCCTTATATTTACACTTCCCATACACATGATGAAACCCTGCTGATTAAACACATTTCACAACCACGAAATGCTCCACTCACATGAGAGCCTGTTTGTTAACCCACTGGACCGATTTCAGTTCTTGAAAACCCAACATTCTGAGTAGCAGCAATGAATTTACTATGCAATTTAGAAGCAAATGGGCCTTCAGATTGCAAATAGTACCTATTTATGGAAAGCCATACCTTTCATCAGTTAGTGTACCTAATAAAACCATCTGCAAAAAGAGGAGAAAGCATAACATGGAGTTCTCTTTTAACTGAGGAATGGTTAATTGCAACATTATGAATCCTTGTTGTGTGAGGGAGTTTCAAGAATTCTAAGTTTTGTTAGGATACATGGTCTCAGTCTTAGGGAAAAATCATACCAGAAACTTGTTAGGCTATATATAATATTCTCAAAAGAATATTTAAATAATAAGAAATATGTACATGTACAATTATTGTTATTATCTGTCAAATTTAATTTCAAGTGTCAGTCGTTTAAAAATGTACTTATAACAATTCATTTTAGTTATAAGGTAAGTAATTAAACATCTAACTTCATGGAAGCCATCTTGAGAAGACAGCTGATAAGCTAACAGGTATAAAATTATTTCTTTATTAAAACCATCACAACACAACTATATCAAGGTCAGTGCCTAGTTTGGCTCTGCTAGTTGTGTTGTGACGGTTTTAATAAAGAAATTGTATAACACAACAGGATGCATGAAATTGAGATGAAAAAAAGAAAGGTATAAAACTGTTTTATGGTATCAAGATGTGGGCTTTGTACCTGGGATTGAAACTAGCAAAATTTTATGTTAATTCTCATATTTTTTCACAGTTCTTTATGTGTTTGGAGTTGGAATATCTCAGTTGGTATAGCAATGGGCTATGTGCTGGATAACCCGTTCAATTCGCAACAGTACAAGATTTTCCTCTTCTCAACAGTGTCCAGAGCAGCTAAAGGGCCCACTCAGCAATGGGACTGAGGCCCCATTCCCAGGGAATAAAATGGCAGAAGCATGAAGCTGACCGCTCGTCTCCATCTAGTGCTGAGGGGTGGAGCTATACCTACACTCCCCCGTATGTCTTTGTGGCATAGTGCTTAACGAATTAAGCACAGCAACAAATTTACCCTACTCTGTGTGCCTTATTATTGTATTTTGCCAACAAATGTTGAGTCTCTATTATTGTTCATGATTGCATCATGAATATTTTGCCTACAGTGCTGTGTTCATTATATATTCCAGACAAAACAGATATGCTCTACACAACTGAATAATCGACACTGATTGTTTCCCTTTTCTTTCGCCAAATGTTTTGGTTTTATTTATGGCACTATAAGGTGAAAACTTACAGAACTATCAACATCAACAGAGCTGGCAGCAGAAGGAGTGGTTAGTTATCCACCTTTGTCTCATCTCTATGAACCGAGATAGCGTAGGTTAACATTTCAAGAGGTGAACGTGTTTTAATTATTGAGAGGTGGGTATACCTACAGTAATTATAATTAAATTTCCATTCTGGTTCAGATCGATGGATTTATTGTTTTAAAAGTGTGCCAAAACATAATAATAACTTCGTTTAAAAATTACCTTAACAGTTTATACGTTTCAATTTTTTGGAATAGCAAGGGGATGTCTCTGTCCATAGTATCTCCTCCACCATCCAGCATACGATATCAATGAACAGTGAATACTTATAAATAAAGGTCCAATTTTGGAATCAGTCCATTCTTTTTTGAAACTATACATTCCGCTTCTTTCAGTTACATTTCCTGATACGAAGGAGACCCCATTAACCTGGTTAGAATACCAGCAACTTTCTGGGCACAATAGATCACTGTGGTCGCGGTGCAAGGGCCAAGAAGGCCCACCCCTTATACATTCATTCATACCACCAACTTGGCATACATGTCATGATCTGAAGAGGTGCCTGATTGCATTGACTCATATTTTTTCTAAATATTTATGAAAAAGCAGTACCCAAATTTTCTCCCAAGTCCCAGTGAACTTCAGTGTTATTGAATTATATTTGGCCATTAATTCATTAACATCAAAGTTCTTTGTGTTTTTAATATAACTCTTTGCATTCTCTAAGGATGCATGCCTTTGATAACTTTCAATTTATTGCTCACAGAAGCTACTGTTTGCTTCGAATGCCATCACACAGGATAAAAAGGAATTCTTCTTTGACGTGACACATTTCTCAACAAAATGCAGTTTGCACACAACAGTGGAGTGCATGGGAGGTTCAGGTGGGCAAGGGTCTTAGTGACTGGCGACATCTTTCACGAATAATATGAATGATTTGCGTGTCCTTCGTTCATGTAACTATAGACCATTGCGTTAAAATGCCAATAGTGCAGTCAGGGATCTATCATCCAAAACTATGAGTACGAATTCAAATATTTTGGGGATTGTGACTTATTACAGCAGAAAGGTGTATATGTTTATATTACGCATTACGAATATTTAGTCAGATTTATTTAGTTTTATGTACAAAATTCTAACATAAAACTTTGCTATTATAAATCACATGATCTAAGCAAGGTATTTTGCATCTGGTGGATAGTGGGCTATTAAATTTGAATCTAACTAACAGTTTTACTTCAACTGTCTGATATCTGATTTCCTGAAAAATCTACTTGGCGATTCTCAAGTTTTTTCATGGGTGCACACACAAACACAGACGGATGTATAGAGCGACTTTTAATGACGTTCTGCAGGGTTGCGGACGAACCTGGAGGAATGTAGGAAAGGTCAGTATCGGCAATGTCAGGGAATTTCTTAAGCACGTGGCTGGAAAATACAACGATTTGTCTCCCAAACCGAAATGATGGGTTTCGCATAACGTTATTCTCTTAGTAGAAACTGAAATGTAGAAATATAAGATTTAAGGGTGTGGGGGCGGGGAACCTACACGTGCATCATATCCTTTAAACTTCGTTATTAATGAAGGAAGTGTTATTTGGAATGTGTAAACATAGAAGGCCAGAAAGAAGATTATCTGGATCCTCTATGTGTTTGCTTTTAAGAAATTAGTGTGTAATAATGAACGAAAAAGAAAAAATTTTATTATAAGCTTGCATGGCAGATTTCTTGTGGCTTAGTAAATTGTCTAATACACATTTTTCCACTTCTAGGACGTACCAAATTTGGACAAGATCGGAGACTTGAGATATTAGTTTTCTAGTCCAGTGGTCCAAGATTCTTTGAATTTGAGTATCTTGTAATATAAGTGAAAGGATCTTAAGGTCTCCCCCCAAACTTTTAAAATTACTAAAAATATGACAACAAACAAACTCCGTGGTTTTAGTCCGCAAGTGAACTATACCGACCTAGCGACCGCTGCTTGTCGACGAAGTTAGTGCCAACTTTAGCGGATAGAGGGTGTCCCTTTTAAAAAATGACTACTAAGGAATATTAAAGACAGACGTACAGTATTTTCCTATTAAATTTAGTCTTCGAAATTTAGTATGTCATTTCAGGATTAAAATTAATTCAATATCTTTGTTGTCGGTCTGTTTTTTTTTTTTTCGGGGCGGCTTCCACATTGGAAAACGCTGCTCTAGTTAGTACAATATTTCTGTTGCACTAATCGTTCTATATTCTTAAACTTTTAGCAGCTACCGCAGTTTTGCAACGATAATAGATTATTTTAAAGCTGTGACTTTTCACCAAAGATATCACTATCGCCTTCTCGGTTCCGCAGAAGCTCTAACTCGGTCACACTGCATCCAGTCTGCTCTAAATGTTGCTCAGCAATGAGTTGTACTCTCCCGCCTGTCCTGTTGCTTGTGATAGCCGAGGTCTGGATTGCCCACGCCGCCAACAGAGCAGGTGTATGCTTAGATGGGTGAGTTTTTTCTTTGCAGTGCCTAAAAGATGAAGATAATAAAATAAAGATAGCATAAAATACATCATCTATTGAAGTTTATGCCTTCTTTGCATGAAGGGGGAAAAATTAACGTGAGATACAGAAGGTGACTGTTCATCAGCCGGTAGATTCCAAATTAAACGACTGCAGGTCATACATAACTGTGAAGGGTAAAGTTATCCAAGAGCTTAAGTTAAGCGCCATGCCTTGAAGATATACTTGTATATGAGAGCGAAAAGATAGCTTAATTTATTCTTAAACTCGACACAACAAGAAGATGAATTGTAATAAACCACAGTTCTGTCTATAGAGTCATTGTTTATAGGACTTAACAAAGATTAATTAAGTAAATAGTGATTTATTCTGAGATGTGACTTCGTATGTAGTCTGGTAAAATTTTACTTGTGTTTCAGAAGAACGTACTTTCTCAATTTTCAGCGTCGATGGTTATATCAAACAAGCAACAGAAATGCAGACTATAGCCTATTGTGTCACATACCAGAAGATAGCATTCTGCACAAACAATAAATATAACATAGTTCTAGTCGGCAACTAAAAATTCGTTTATCCACTCTTCACCTAAAGGGACCTATACAAAGATCTATTTATTTACGACTGTATACAAGAATCAGTTCGTCATAAAGTTATTTAAAATCAGCTTCTCTTACGACAAAGTTCATACAACGTTGAAAATATGGGGGATAATTTTATCTTTTATGAAATAACTTATTTTTAAGATGTTTAAATCGTACAAAATTTGTACATTTCTTTGTGCCATATACTAAGCTTACACAAAACATGACATGCATAGCTGAAATTGGCTGTTTGATTCATCTAACGACACTTTCCAAAATCATTGATTTTATAATGTCAAATGGAAAATTATATGATATATTGTTTCTTTCAAAATAAATCTGAAATGTGCGAGTATTTTTGAGTGCAACTGGTAGTGGTTTTTATAAGTGGAATGAATTATCTGGAGAGAAAATAAATACGTGACTATGTTTGTTTATTTATCCAAAACTGCAAGCAGTTTATTTGGAACCGAGCTGCTACTTCCTATGAATTCCTGCCCCAGGAAAGAGTACGGTTTATCAGAAAGCTTCAAGATAAAACCACTGCCTATCGCACTTTTTTGCGTGCTAATTACTATAAAATTATGTACTCTCTTCCTGGCTTCTGAAATTTCCGGTAGGCCTGTGTGAGGAAAACAATTATCGTAAATCTATCTGAAGCAGAACCTGGATTAACGGTTGATTTTGTAAAGGAGATATAACNATCTTCTTAACAATACTAACATGCTGCATTTCGCCAACGGAATGTATTTGTGTGTTTCTTAGGGTTCTCAAGACACAAATCCCCTACCCCTAAATAGGATTAACCGGTTGATTTTATAACGGAGATATAACGTGTTTCCAGTGAGGTACGAACTGAATTCTTATATATTATTCCGAAGTAATAATCCCGTGTGGAGGCAGGGTCGAATACCTCCACCGTAGGCCTGCGAGTCATAGGAGGCGACGGAAAGGGAAGTCTCGAATCTGAGGCAGTAAAATATGGTCGTGAGTCCCAAGGGACTCTNTGGTTGTGTGTGTGCGTTTTTCTGTGTTTGTGTACAGGTAGAGGCCTTGCGACGAGCTGATCACTCGCCCAAGGAGTCCTACCGAATGTGTAAGATCTAGAAAAACCGAAGTGAACGGAGGAGTTCATGGAGTTAGGCCTAGGTCCACTGGGGCTGTAGTGCCAAGGGGAAAAAAATAATCCCGTGTGGAGGCAGGGTCGAATACCTCCACCGTAGGCCTGCGAGTTGTAGGAGGCGACGGAAAAGGAAGTCTCGAATCTGAGGCAGTAAAATATGGTCGCGAGTCCCAAGGGACTCTGACCCGAGAATGACTGCGCTGGCGAGGACCAGCAGCAATTGTAAACGACAGACCCGTCCTCTCGTCAGAGAGAGCACCCCACATCAACAAACCCGCAACTGTCCGGCAGTAAAGAAAAAGTCGGGTCGTAAACCCCAGATGGGTGCTTTATTCCAAGCGTCGGTCGTAACATAAGACTACTCGACTCAGTCTTTAATGGATTAAACGGAAGATGTCTCCGGTCCCGCGAATGCGGAAAGAAGGACCCACCCTCCCAGTCCATCCCCTCACCATTTTCGGTCCTGATAACGAAATCCGGTTCTGTCTTTGAGGCATGTGAAATGCAACCTTTAAGCTGTATTTATAAAATAAGGAAGTTTATGGTCTGACAGACAGGAAACCTTATGCTGCAGTTTTATATGTTTAAGATGCATTCACACGTGATTACATGTAGATATGATTATAATTATTAAGTTGATACGATAAGCCTTCCACTCACCCGATTGTTTCGAGTATGACAATATACGAACACGTTACTTATATAGCATAAGGGTGGAAATGTAACCTCCATTTTGTGCAGGATGAGCTGCATCTTCCAAATTCATTCTCTGTCGTACTGAATATTTGACTGCTCTTGTTGCAAATACAAATCTGTCGTCGCAAAGCAAATCGCACTGCAGAGAATCGTGGATTTTTATTTCTTTTATTCTCCTAAGTATTTCTTATACCATACGTTATGCAGTATTTTAACTGTTATACGGAGAGTCTCTTTGAGAGCAATATGATACATCGTAAAGTTCGAGCTGAAATTCTTGTAAAATATGGAGTTACGTTGAAATGATTCGGACCAAAAAATAAATCCCCCCATAAAATTTTAGTGTAGGAACCAGATACTAATTTTAAATAAGTATTCATATCAATTCAGTTTTGTAGGAGTGAAGTATTAGAAAAGATGAATCTCGTGCAAGGAGCGAGTGCAAGTTAAAGCACCAATACCTATTGGACGTTGTTTCCTTAAAGAAAATAAACTATAGAAGTGTCATATTATCTCGCAGCTGAATGTTGACTCCATTTGGCGGAAACTTACCAGTTGCAGCTGAATGTCGACTCCGTTTGGCGGAAACTTGCCAGTCGCAGCTGAATGTTGACTCCATTTGGCGGAAACTTGCCAGTCGCAGCTGAATGTTGACTCCGTTTGGCGGAAACTTACCAGTTGCAGCTGAATGTTGACTCTTTGGCGGAAACTTACCAGTTGCAGCTGAATGTTGACTCTGTTTGGCGGAAACTTGCCAGTCGCAGCTAAATGTTGACTCCATTTGGCGGAAACTTGCCAGTCACAGCTGAATGTTGACTCCGTTTGGCGGAAACTTGCCAGTCGCAGCTGAATGTTGACTCCATTTGGCGGAAACTTGCCAGTCGCAGCTGAATGTTGACTCCGTTTGGCGGAAACTTGCCAGTCACAGCTGAATGTTGACTCCATTTGGCGGAAACTTGCCAGTCGCAGCTGAATGTTGACCCTGTTTGGCGGAAACTTGCCAGTCACAGCTGAATGCTGACTCCGTTTGATGGAAACTTGTCAGTACTTAAGTACGAAGGAACGTTGTAGTTATATAGCAAATATTAATCATATTCATGAAATTATACAGTGGATATTGTTTAAAAGTGACGTTAACTTTCTAACAGGGCACAGAAATTGAAAAATTGATCAATTCTTGGATTCTTCGGCACGACCACACAGAAAACACCTCTCCCAACGGCTCTTCTATTGCGTCGCGCAGCTGTCTCACGGACCGCATAGAGAACACCCTTCCTTATTCCCTCAGTCGAGCCTTTAGCATATTCTTTTGGAGAAATGGGCACCAAAATATTCTAATGTATGCTAAGGTCTGTGCGTTCGAATACTCTGAAATTAAAATCCCTTTGTATTTCTTTGGGATGAGAAATAAGAAATGATGTAGTAAATATTCCATGTGATTATTCATTCAGAGATGGATTTTAATGCATACAACCAAGGCAATTGAGCAAAGTAGGACAATCAGTTTCCTGTGAAATTTGAATGATTATTACTCGATAATTTTTGTCTGAGAAAATTACGTGATTATATATTTTTATTGATGCTCTATGACTTTAGGATGAATGTCATCCATGTAAGTAATCTGCTTTAGAAACCACATAAGTGACTCATTTGTTTGTGAGTACAATATTTTGTATATCATGAAGATAAAGCTTTATCATATCTTGGTTTACCAAAGGATGTGGTTCCTAAATGAGGGATGCATTTTTTCTATTTATGTGTTTGATAGTTATTGTATCTTTTGAATAAGCAGTATTTTTTCAAAAACTTTTTAAACAACTACCTTAAAATATACACGATTACTTTATTGGCAGATGGGATAATATAAAATTCTAAACTAAAAGAAATGCAGATTCTGTATACATTTCCAGACTATCTTGATACAGATCTCAGCGCGTTGAGATCAAAATATTAAGTTCTTATTCTGTCCCTTCAAATCCCACTTTCTTTCTGTAATACTGACGCTATTAAATTTGTGACTATAGTGAAAAGAATATTATATGCTTTCTATATATACATATTTTTTATGAGAAAATTAATCTTCATGCAGGCTTATCTACTTTAATCCTTGTGCTTATGAAAACATTTCAAATAGCTTCTAAAATGTGAAAATGCTATTTGTGATTGATGCAGAACTCATCATTATAGGAAAAGCATTTTGCAGTGTGTACAGATATACATTGCAGAGTGCTTTATATCTATGTATATATATATATATATATCTTCACACTGTAGTGCGCATACATGCACGCAAAAAGGCATTCACATACACGGACAGATACAGCTTTATTTATGTTATAATAACATTTTTCATAAAGTATAAAAATAAAATATCACTCTTATGAAAGTTATCAGATATGTGATAATTTCTTCACAAATTTAGAAAATTTTGTGTTCAATCCTCAAATTTGACATGAAAATTCCCCCCCCCCCTTTTTGTATGTAAAAAGTACACTTCCATTTGCCACACATGAGTATCTTCACCTTCATTTCTGGAGGAAACACATTCAATAAACAGATTCTGAGATATAGATAACAGTAAAGCAGCGTATCTACACATTTTCATGATACACACATAATATTGATAAAATATTTTAATTGGAAATTAAGATTAAATTTAAATTAAGAAATTAAGCTACTGCTCTCTGCATTCACAAGCCATTCACCTGCTCTGAAGATGGAGGCGATACGTTCCTCCGAAACGTCAGCCAAAACGAAGAATACACGGCGCCAAAACCCAGAAGATGACTTTCTTCATAGTTTAGCACCGTGAAAACCTCAAAACTTACAAACTTAATATCAGTCCACATATACATGTATAGAATAAGAGGTAATTTCATTCCCTGAAATTCAGGAAATTATAACATCTGAAATTTATAGTCTTCATTTGTATTTTCAGAGAACATGGGGAAAGTGAGAGATGCTGTGAAGGATATAGGAAAAATTCTGCAAATGACTGTGTGCCCAGATGCAGTGGAGGCTGTCCACCCAATCAGTATTGTTCAGCTCCTAATATCTGCTCATGCAAGAGTGGTTATGTGAAGATTGGAAAAAATAAGTGCATGCCTTTCTGTGCAGGTGGTTGCCAGAATGGACGTTGTTCAGCCCCCGACGTTTGCACATGCAATGACGGTTTTGTGATGCATGAATCTTTATGCATTCCTGCATGTGAATGTCAACATGGCCGCTGTACAGAGAATGATAACTGTGTCTGTGATGAGGGTTATATTCTAAACAAGAATAAAACAGATGAATGTGTTCCATTCTGTCCTCTAGGCTGTATAAATGGCTATTGTTCAATGCCAAATATCTGCACTTGTAAGAATGGTTATATCCAAGACAAAGCTGTCCCATATATGTGTGTTCCTATGTGTCCTGCTGTGTGCAAAAATGGTTGGTGTAATGGACCTTTTACTTGTGAATGTTATGAAGGTTTCATAAAAAACCACAACTATGAATGTGTACCAGGATGCAAGAATGGTTGCAATAATGGACAGTGCATAGGACCAGAACTTTGTGTATGCAATGAAGGGTTTATGAAGAATAACTTGTCAGATTCTCCTGAATGCGTGCCAGAATGTAATCAGGAGTGTGTAAATGGGGAATGCACACAACCTAACAACTGTACATGCTTTGCTGGGTACACAAAGGACTTGGAACATCCCCATAATTGTGTGCCACTGCATTACAGAGAATGTGCAAATGGTAATATCTCTTTGCAAGGCAAATGTATATGCTATGAAGGTTACAAAGAAGATGATAAAAATACGAACATCTGTGTGCCAGATTGTACTGTTGAATGCATTAATGGCAATTGCACTGCTCCAAACTTATGTACTTGCTTTGATGGATACACAAATGATTTAACACAACCAAACCGGTGTATACCTACATGTATACAGCAATGTATTAATGGGAAATGCTCTCAACCAAATGTGTGTCACTGCCTTTCTGGATATGCTATGACAGACATTAAAGAACCTAACAAATGTTTTCCAGTTTGTGATGAACCATGTATTAACTCTAAATGTGTAGCCCCAAACAAGTGTGTGTGTCATGATGGCTTTGTTCCTGACTTAAAATTCAGGAACAGATGTGTGATAAGGTGTCCTGATCGTTGTATCAATGGAAACTGTACTGTGAACAGAACCTGTGAATGTTATGAAGGATGGACTGGCACAGATTGCAGTCTCCAGATAGACTACAAGCATCATTATTCCAGTGTTAACACAATGCAGTAAGCATGCTGGATACTGTTGAGCATATCTTTCCTTGAGCACTTCTGCATTTTAAATGGGTCAACTGATAAAATGTCTCCAACCTCCTCTTCCCATAACCTTATCATTTTGGCTTCTTGTTAGCTCTACAGTTATCTTTTTGTCTTCCGGTGTCTGCATTAACTGTTTTTTTTTATCTTCCCATATAACTCTTTCCATTAAAGTTTTATTATAATACTCTTCTAGGTATTTTCGTTATAACTGTTATCCTTTACAGGACCAAACCATTGAAATTTTCTCTATTTTATCTGCATTAACAAATTATGAATTCAAACTGCCTTAAAAATAATACTTCAATTCTATTCATTCGTTTTCCTTCAGTACTTCTAAAGAATTTCTTATGGAATTCATGGATTTTGCCTTGTGAGGGTTCATGTTAGATATTTGTGTTACATTAATTTATACTCTATATCATGATCCAATTAAGACATCAGTTAAACCAATTTAATAAACCATCAAATCAGCCTGAGAGAAATATCTTCTACTTTGATCATGTTTTGTGGAGTTCATGGTACTGTCCATGTTAATTTAGGTCGTACAATTAAATACTTACTGATAAACAAAAGAAAGCATTAATTTGTATTAACGGTAACCTAAATATGTCAATGATATCCAATATTTTTGGACAAAATTTTTACCTGTGAAAAGTCATAATTTTACCACAGTGGCCCTGAACTATATAAACTATTATGTATCTAACTGTGTGCTAATTTGTCTTCAGAGTACAGGCAGACTATTGGTTGCCAGATAGGATAAATATGCTTTGGATCAGCGTGGTAATTATAATGGCTGTATCTCTCATACTTGTCCCTGGCATCTCGAAGATTGTATCTCGTTGCCAACAAAAGAAGGAAGCGAAGAGTGATGGGGAAGTAATGTATGTCCAAAACCCTGGTGAGTGAACATTCTACAAATGTAAGCTTAGATTATTTATTTTAACTTCACAGCTTTTTACAGCTTTGTAGGAAACGTCAGAATACATGCGTTGCATTTCCGTTGTTGAGAAGCTTACATTAAAATAATAATTCATGCTCAAAGAATACCAACCTAAAGATATTGATACCATGGCTTTTGAGATATGAAAATCTTATTATATCAGTGATTTTATGTGGTTTCAATAACGATCTACAACCTGGCTTGTAGCGTAGTGCCTCAACTAACTACATTGATGTATATTTATTTCGTTTTCCAGAAATGAATGACTTGAGCACCGAAGCCCTATGTGTTGACAAATACAGAGATGAAGCATACTACTGAACTTTAGAAAATATATGCAGCTGGAAATGAAAAGATCGCCTTTCATAATATTAATAAATATTTGTGGGATTTGGAGCAACTTACTTTTTTAAATAGTTACCAAGTTTCGGAGAATCCTGCTGCTTCTTTCTTGAAGATAAAATAATAGAGAAACAGTAAATTTCTCCGAACCGCTGATACCTACCTACCAAACTATAGTGCCACATCCCAAAAGACAGTATTGTTACCCTCCCACCCAGAAACAATCCAGTTGGTGCCCATGGATTTATAATCTTCCTTTTTTCTTCCATTCCATAATCAATGTAACAAAAACAATCCGCGAGGGTAAAACCGAAGCTGTCCGTATGCTTAATTAAATAACACATCATAAACTTTGGCACGAGACGGAGATGAATGGTCAGTTTTACGCCACGGCCGCTTTTCCTCCCGTAAAGATGCTTCCAGTATGCAATAGACTGTAGGCTGGGTGGGTCCCAGTGTCGACCTGTTTGTTAGAGACCAAAGTATACATCTTCGATGGTGAATGTCAATTCGAAGCTGTAAGACTTCTAGCTGATCAGGAGTGTGTCAGAGAATCTTAAGAATTCACAGTGTGTCATATTTTCTGCGTAATGCTCTCCTTTTTGCCGTACGTCTGCATATGTTGGTTCGCGGGAACACTCACGAGTGTATTAAATAACACACACAAGCTGTGGGGAAACGGAACACCCTTATCCTGGGACAAAGCTCTGGTTTGTCCGGGTCCCATGTCACTAAATGCGAATACGAGTAGCGCTGGACACAACGGCTCGATTTGGCTGCGTTGTTGCGGAAACCGTTTCCTCGGGAGCACCTCGTGGCAGTGCATGGCTTGCCCACGTTACGACATTTATCGAGCGTGATCTGCTGTTTCAGTGAGCTGGCTTGTAGCACGACATACCAGCGCCCGCTGGGTGACTCTAGCACGTATCCGGGTTCGATGCGCTGTCTCTCCGAGTCACATACTGTCTGCTGTGTCTCTCCAGGTCGCGCCCACGACCATACCTGCAATTCGCCCAATTGGTGTCAATTAAAAAAGGGTAAAGCTAGCCCTGTAACAGGATATGGAGGCCCATAGGGCTGTGAGACGTCGAGGCTCCCATAGATAATCGACTCGCAGATGGCGGTAAGGTTGTCAGCCTTACGCCCCTGCCTCCCTTTACTCCCAGGAAGATTCCTGGTACTCATTTCTGTTAGAAGCTGAGTCTATCCCATGCCCACAGTGCGGTAGTCAGTTGAAAAATTCAATTATCATCGGGAATCGATACCGCGACCTTCCGGCTTGTAGCATAGTGCCCCAACTAACTATATGTGTAGGTGGGAAATGTGTAAGCGTTCAGAGTACTGTGACTGTAACAGGACGTTCGTACTTGGACATGCTGGAGCTGTATGCGCTGCCCCAGTTACCACCTCAAACTATTCTCCAACAAGATGGGGCTCAGCCACAATTTTGCCACCATGATAGGAATCAACTGGACACAGAAATGGCTGGGAGATGGATCGGCCAATCGCCTGGTCCCCTAGGTCGCCAGATTTAACTCCAGTGGATTTTTTCTCATGGGGTTGTGTGAAGAACATTGCCTACCAGGTTAAGATCAACGAACTTCAACACCTGAAAGCCCGCATAAGGTACGCTGTGGCTACGGTAACACCAAACATGCTTCAAGCAACGTGGATCGAGGTCGAATACCGTCCGGATATTTCTCGTGCCACCAAGGTAACCCATATTACAATTTATTGAGAAAGTTATGTACTCAGAATAAAAATTGGTAGTTTCCCTTTATAATGGTGTAACCCATAAATGTGGATAATAAATGCTTTCTGGGTTATAATTATTTTATTTTGGATAACTTTCATTCAGATATCCTGTATTTCCTGTAAGGTAGGAACTGAATCTTTATAGATTATTTAGAAAGAAATTAGTTTTAAACCCGTCCTCTCGTCAGAGAGGATGCCCCACACCGACAAAACCGCAAATGTCTGACAGTATCATAAATCTTGTCTTGAACCCAAAATGGAACTTGACACCAAGACTGACTGGTCGACTGAACGTCTGTCGTAACGTGTCTTTGGCTTCAACTCAGTCTCTAAAGGTTAGATTTGTCTCTGAGAAGTTCTTACATTACTCCCCTTATAACCCTTGCCCTAAACGTAACCCGATCTTCGATCTTCGTAACCAATATAAAGGAGTATAATCTCTCTACTTGATACCGCGTAATTAAACGACACAGAGATAAATCTATACATATAACAGGCCGCGCCATAGCTCAAGCGGGCGGTTAGTCGCTGACCTCCCACCCCGGCGGCCCGGGTTCGAACCCGGGTCTGGTCAAGTGGCGCTGGGGCAGGTTTTCTCCGAGTACGGTTTCCCCTGCCAATTTTCATTTCACCAATTGCTCCACAATCACCCTCACCTTTCGTCTGGGGCTGTTACAATAGGCCAGAAGTGGCCGCAGTACAAGGGACTTAGTCCCACCCCATTAGCAATAAAAGAAATGTATATAACAGGCTGTGCCACAAGTTAGGCTGTTAGTACCTGCTTCTCACTTCTGTGGCCCGGGTTCTTTCCCAGGTTATGTGGCATTCTGGTGGAAAAAATGGCGCTGGAGCAGATTTTCTCCATGTACTGCTTTTTACCCTGCTAATTTTAATTCCACCAACTGCTCCACACTTATCTATCACCATAATCAGGGACCGGTACCATAGAGCCAATAGTGGCCGGCGTATCAAGTGTACTAAGTCTCACCCCACGTTGGCCACGCCATAGCTCAAGCAGCTAGTCGCTGGCTTCCCACGGCGGCGGCCCAGGTTCGGTCCCGGGTCTAGACAAGTGGGATTTGTGGTGGACAAAGTGGTGCTGGGGCAGGTTTTTGTCCAAGTAATTCGGTTTCCCCTGCCAAATTCTCCATCATCATAATCACCCGGGGCAGGTACAATAGGCCAATCAGTGGCGGCCGTGCCGAGTTGATCCAGCTGGGCTCCCCCCCCCCCCCCACTAAGCGAATTAAAAAAAAAGTCTCCCCACGAATTACAATAGAATGTGTGTAATTGTAGGATAATGTTCAAACATGCTAGAATAAAAATCAATGTATTTTCTCTCACGTGTCTGTTTCCCCTCTCCACTCCCCCCGTGCTGTTGGAGGAATACGGGGTTGTGTCCCCCGCGTCTTCATCGTCCGCATCCTCGGGTACCGGCGCATATAGGGACGAGAGCAAATCTGCACATCGCCTCATCAACTGCGACATCTGTTGCCTACAGAAGGAACAAGAGTATTCAAGAAAAAAGAGATTCGAGGTTTTATCGGCGGTGAGCATTTTGTGGCCTTACGAGTTATGTCACTGTAGAGTCGTAGAGTCTGGCAGGTGACTACCACCGTTTAGGAACAACTTAATGGTTCCGTTGTAAGGACAGAAAGTTCTGACCAGACTTGTTGGCATCATAACCCAGCACACATAAAATCTACAAAGACAATAGAACCCATCAATATAACGACCCTTTCTAAAATATAAGCAATAACTTTATGTAGGATATAATATTTTCACAGCGGTGGTTATGAAGAGTCACATGACGCCGTATGGTGTGTTGAAATTTAACCGACGTTTCGGAGCAAAATGCCGTCTACATTTTAAGAATTTAAGAACAGGCGAAGTAGGGAATCCGCATGAAGCAGTTAACAAGCAATAATTTTGTGCAAACGTATATTACCAAGAGACTGTCTTCTTTACTAAAGACACGTGTTGAGTAGACTAACATATTTCAATCTGTTTTGTAATGAGTGTAGACACATTTTATAATTGTGAAGTAAAAAAGTAAAGTAAAAGTAAAGCTATCCCTGTAACAGGCCATGGAGGCCCATAGGGTTGTAAGACGTCGAGGTTCCCACATTTTCTTGAAAATCGGCTCAAAGATTGCGTTTAAATTATTAACTTTAAACACTGGCCACCCTTTAGCCTCAGGAAGATTCCTGGTACTCATTTCTGTTAGGGGCTGAGTCGACCCCAGGGTCATGTTACGCCTGAAAGTATTAGATCAATTGAAAAACACAATAACCTCATCGGGAATAGATACCGCGACCTTCCGGCTTGTAGCATAGTGTCTCAACCAATGTGTAGGCATTGTTCAGAATACTTACGAGGGATATCTTGGAGGAGAAGCACAGTAACCCATTTCTTTAGCCTCTGGGCAATCCTCAAGAAGTATGTCTTTCAGAGTCACTTTCTTCCTCGGATCTGGAGCAGAAGTGGTCCTGAGCTTATTTTCTGGAAGCGATCTCGTCGTTGGTCCAAAAGTAGGAGGTTTTGTTATTCTTATTGCGGAGGGCGGTGGGATGGGGTCAGTTAGGGTAACCGGAGCGTGATAAATTGAATGGTGCTCGCTGGCCTCAATACTCTGACTAAACTGCACGTTGGGCTCCAAATTATGATGGCTAGACGCGTTTGGGAAAAACACCGGCAACTGTTTATGTTCAGACCCTGCAGTGAACTGAGAAGGCTGAGGATTTGTGGTATACCGATGACTTCGAAAATTATTTTCTACAGGAGTTCCTTTACTGTATTTTTCCCCATCCTGGCTCCAGTTATTTCTTGAAGGTGTTGCTTTTTGTACAATTCGGTTTTGGTGTATTGTTAATGGGTTCTCTGTGTTTGACGAAATTAATTGCTGTTTATGATCTTGCTGGTAAATAGGACCAGGAAGTTGGTATTGTTGTCTGTGCGGAAGAGATACCACTTGTTTATTGAAAGTTGACTCTGACTTGGTACTGTCGGATGGATCACTGAATTGCAGAGGTTTCCGGCTTGTAGTATCCACAATTTTTTGGTTAAAGACAACGTGATGTCTAATATTTTCCGGTGAATTACTCTGTGTAGAAAATCCTTGAGGAAACCGAGGAAAAAGTGGACGACTATTTCTGATGTCTTGTTGGTGGCTTGGAAACTTTGGCGATGACATAATTTGAATTAAGGGCGGTCTCTTATTGAACGGATGTCTACTGTGTGACGTCACTGGTGGTCGTGGATGAGACCGGAATCCAAGTTCATGAGCGGGAAACGGTGGAGGTCTCATGACTGTAATAGTCCCTGGTTTTACTCTCTGGTCCTGTCGAGTATTTCTGTTCGACGGCTGCAGGTCGGCGGCACCGAGTGTGTCAACAGTGACTCCGAGCGTCCTAGGGGCCAGGAATAAAGCTACTAAGATGAAGATCTGAAACAAAAATAAGGGGGGAAATGTGTACTCTTCGCTTATTTGCATACTTCACTGGCCTCGAGGTAATCATGGCGTTAAAACTCGTCAGATATATATATAAATTAGATTTTATGTTTTTACGTGTATGGAGTGTGAATATCGACGGCTTTTGGATTGATGATCTGGTTAACTGGATTCTTTGATACAGCTAGGGACAGCAATTAACAATTAACTATTACACACATTAGTGTCCACAGTCACGTCTTCAATAGCCGTTGCTTGGTAGCGGCTTCCAACGGCATCTAATACCGTTCTTCTGGGTTCCCGAACTATCCCCAACCTTAGCTACTAGTTCCTCACGGCAACATTTCATAACTACCGAACCACAGCAATTCTCTAACTAGTCTAGTGCTGAGTTTAAGAAGGGTGGAACTATACCTCCACACCCGCACACGACTTCATGATATGACGCTTAATTAATTAAGCACAGGGAAAATTTTACCTTCAACTTACCTAACTTTGACTGAAAAAATATTTCTCACTGTATTCTACAGAGCGGCCATTAAGTGTAAATAACATGTCAAGGTCTAAAAGCAACCAATAGGGACTACCTTTATGACAGAAAGCTTAATTAAAGTGAAAGAAAATGTATAACAGAACATCGGAATTAGTCAGGAAATGAATCTTCATGGACATAGCGCAGAGTAGTCCATTGAAAGTCAACAGAAGTTTCGGAGAAACATGTCGCCTCCATCTCCAGGGTCGAATATTATGCAAAGATCGCTTGCTACCTCCTTCATGTTGGTTTCTTGGTCTGTTTATTCTTCGAGCCTAGGTACGAGGCGAAATGTTCCCCATAATTTACAGTAATATAACACCTGTCTCTTATTTATAATTTTCTAAGCAGGTTGATGAATATATACAGCATACACTTAGGCTTTCAGTAAAAGGAATTGCGGTATCATATAAATATCAGGCTAATATCCAAGATATTGCGATATTGCTGCGATCAGTTCAGGTATTTGAAATATTTATTCCGATAACCTCAACAAATTATATAGCCACTTACATAAATTTAGTTTAAATAAAATATATCTGTTCACTGTGAACCTCTAAATTCAGGAGGGAGAAAATTCNGGTGCCAAATCCCAGAAGACTGCTTTCTTCATAGTCACCGCCGTGAAAGCCTCAAATCTTACATTCAGTTCGGTTGTTATCGAGAATCAGCTACTTCCGTGATCATTGTCTGCATTTAGAAGACATCTTGATTCTTTTAGTGGAAATTAAGAAATGTACGCACAGCATAAACATCTTTGTTTATTTCGATAACCGTGAGATTTACGGAGAAATGAGTCAGACACAAGACACTTGCACTTTTTTCTCTCTCCATAAAAATATTGATCCACATATATTTTTGTTTCGATACATATTTATAGAATTATCCTCGAGAAATCTGCAGAAAAGCCTTTAAGTCTTCCTATAAATTGTCCGTCATTTTTGTCCAGTTTTGTTGAAAACTGTAACATGTGAAGAAATGCTCGTAGAACTCAGTGTCATTGCATTTCATGAATATCCGTTCAACGATTTTCACAGTATTTAATATGTATAGACTGTCAGATGACAGACCGCGACCATCTTAACAGAGACTCCATAAGGTTACGAACAAATGAAACAAAAACAAACTCCGTGGTTTTAGTCCGCAAACCAACTATACCGACCGAGCGACCACCGCTTGTCGGCGAAGTTAGTGCCAACTTTAGCGGATAGAGGGTGTTGCGTGGTCAGCGCAACGAATCCCCACGACAGTTAATTTCGGTTTTTCTAGAACGGAGCCGCTATTTCCTTGAAATAGCTCCTCAATTATCCTCACGAGGCTGAATGGACCCCGTTCCAGACCCCTACTTCTCAGAAAAACTGGTATAGCCGGGAATCGAACCCGGACCTCTGAATATGTAGCCAGGGACTCTGACCACTAGACCACAGAGACGGTCCCACAAGGTTACGAAGACAACTAAAATTAATTATATTAAGTATCACATTTACAGCCTCCAAATTTACTGTGCCGATCACAGTGGCCACACGGTCTAAGGCATGAGCCGTCTTCTCCCGTTCGAACATTGGGATCGTGGGTTCGTATCCCATTCAAGGCATGTGTGTCCGTGCGCGTATATTCTGTGTGTAGGTAGCGGTCTTGCGACGGGCTCACTCCCTTAAGGAGTCCTATCGACTCTGAATAGATTATGAAACTGAAAAAGCGGCAAAATTCCAACAAATGAATATAGAACCATAGATAGATAAATTATTTACTGTGGTTCACCGGGTTGGGAAAACTGATTAAGAAAAGTGTCTTAATGTTATAGAATATTAATATTTCCAGCAATGGTAAAAGAAGTTCACGGAGTATACTGCAAGAATAATGCTAATTAGAAATTGCTGACTCATACAAATTAAGGCAGAGCTTCACGAAGCAATGTAATCCACTCTCAGCTTCTGCTGACGCAACAATAATAACTATCATTGGACTTACGTTCATGTTTGGGCTGCAAATCCACTTTTCACCTGCAGAAGTCTTGAGCCATCACTGCGCTCCACACAGCTTCATGACTATCGAGAACTGCTGGTGTCTTCAGCGAGTATCATGGTTAATTCTGACCACAGTTTAACCCCTTCCTCAACAGGAGGTGGCCCAAGTGGGTCGCTGCGTTGCCCACGACCCGGTTTTGCCTCTTCCTCTCACTGAACGGTCCAGCAAGGCGTCCTGGAGAAAGCAAATGAAACTGTGAACAATGCGGCAAACAGTAATTGTAAAATAACGTAAGAATCTGGGTTTTAAAATCTCGCAACGGTGACAATGAAGAGTACGGTCTTTTGACTGTACGAGTAACGCCGTGTAGTTCGGCGTACTCTCGACAGGAACACATCATCACCATCTTCAAGCTGCAGATTTGGGCCTGTTTCCATTTCCCCCCCCCCTGGATTATCCTTCTACCCAATGACCGCGCCATAGCTCAAGCGGTTAGTCGCTGGCTTCCCACCGCGGCGGCCCGGGTTCGATTCCGGGTCTAATCAAGTGGGATTTGTGGTGGACAAAGTGGTGCTGGGGCGGGTTTTCTCCGAGTACTTCGGTTTCCCCTGCCAATCTTCATTCTACCAAATTCTCCATCATAATCACCCGGGGCAGGCTACAATAGGCCAATCAATGGCCGCCGTGCCGAGTGGACCCAGTTGGACTCCACCCCAAACTAAGCGAATTTAAAAAAAAATCCTTCCATCCAGAATATAGAGGCGATGCATTCCCCGAAAGTAGGCTTTTTCCGAACTACATGGTGTCATTTTACAATCCCAGAATACAGAACTTTTTAACATAAATTGCACGAAAAAATTATTAACACTGTTATTGGTCAATGGAAATATATATTCATAAGTCTGTCATAATCCAAGATGCATTCAATTTTTTCAGTACAGTCTATTTTAGGAGGGCATTTTAGGACTTGCATAGCGCCCAACGGCAACTATTTTGAGGGCAGGTGTGGATCTGTGTAAGTGAATGCGAATACCCTGTAACATGAAGCGATAAAACCACAGTCCACGAACTTAACGACTCTACCACATACATATCTTGTACTGAATCTGAGGTCGTGTGGTGCTACCAAAAAGAAAATTTGTGGGTCAATGGTTAAGACAGACTGAGCTATCAGGCAACTACAATTGTACTTTCACGAAGCTTCTATGGATGTGAGAACTCTAATTCCTTTAATAATTATAGTAGAAATGAATAAACAAATTATTCAGTGCCAAATAAGTATTTATTCCCGGTCTCTGACAGGTTTGACTAGCCCCTATATGTTTAATATAATTTCCTGTTCATTCATATTTTCTCGTGAGTGTCACGTGAGATGCTATCGATCCTGAAGCTTTTATATCTGCTCTAATCCACTCACCTGCTTAGCTACGGTTAGTGCCTACAGAGCGGAAACTTATAAATGGCTGATGTTATTTACTTTTATTTCAGGCTTAAATAACACATAAATTTTGGAGCCTAATTAAGGACGTGCTGATCACAGTGGTCGCGCGGTCTAAAGCATGAAATGTTCTCGCCCGCTCGAACACTGTGATCGTGGGTTCGAATCACACTCGAGGCATGGATGTCTGTGTGTGCTTTTATCCTGTGTTTGTGTTGTTCTGTGTGTAGGCAGCGGCTTTGCGACGGGCTGATCCCCCGTCCAAGGAGTCATGTCGTCCGCGTAAAAATGATTATGAAACAAGAAGAGGTCAGGGCCCAACAAAAGGCTGCAGAGCAATTGATGAATGAATGGATTCAGCAATAATGTAAATCTCGAAGAGACTAAATGTGTTTAAAAATGGTTTCACTTTTCTTCATAAGTTATTACAAGTCATGTTTCTTTTCTCATGGCACTCCAGTTTGCTCCAATTTCTTCTCATTGATGGGTTACACATATTTTCTAGAAACTGTATGTACCATTCTCCTTTCAAAATTCATTCCGGAAACTCGCCTTTTCTCGGCACATAATTTTTATTTATCCTAGTTCTGCAAGCTAACATATTTGTAAAAAAATAAGTTTTCCGTGTAATCATTTAAGTACAACGCCATGGAGACGTATAGTGAGAGGAGGTATAGATCCACGCATTCTTTGCCTCAACATTAGTCAGAGAATAGTCGTCGTATTTACATCCCTTTCATTCAACCCCCTGGGTGGCCCATATAGCACGTATTTGATGAAATGTTTCCCTCCGACTTATCTGTCGACATATTGGACCAAACATCTCTCTGCACTGGGGTGTACAGCTTACTGCTACAATACGCCATGTAATCCTACATTACAAATAGATTTGGTATGTCAGGCGATGACGCAATTCATGAATCGTAACCTTCATTTCTTCTACAGGTTTTCGTCTAGCTTTGGGCTACTTCCCCACGTGACCCACCCACACGCACATACACATGTACGGGTTCATTAGCTGCGTTTAAAATTGCTTTTCGTACAGAAAATTTCACAAAAGTATTCGTATCCTTTCCCAATGTTCCACTTTTATTCCTGTTGAATAAAATAGTAAAAGTAAAGATATCCCTGTAACAGGCCATAGAGGCCCATAGGGTTGTGAGACGTTAAGGCTCCCACATTATCTAGACAATCGGCTCAAAGATGGCGGTAAGGTCAGCCTTACGCGCCGGCCGCGCTTTACTCCCAAGGAAAATTATTTAATTAATTCCTGATACTCATTTCTGTTAGAGGCTGAGTAAACCCCAGGGCCATAGTGCGGCTGGAAGGATTAGGTCATTTGAAAAAAATCCAGTGACCTCATCGGACTTCAACCCGCGACTTTCCAGCTTGTAGCATAGCTCCTCAACCAACTGCGCTACCGCGTGCCCCCTTCCTGCTGAATATGTCTTCTGAAATATTGTTCATTTATGTCGCTTGTATACAGTTTGATTTCCGGCAGGGGTAAGATATTTTTCTCTACTCCACAGTCTCCAGACAGGCACTAGGGCCCACCAAGTCTCCCGCCCAATTAGTACCGCTGGGTCTTTCTCCGGGGGTAAAACGGCCGGAGAATGAAGCTGGCCGCTCACATCCACCTTGCGTCAAGAACAAGAATGGTAGGGCTATACCTTTTTTCTCCTATACGTCTTCATGTCACGGTGCTTAAATTAGCACAGGATTAATTAAGTAATTAATTTTCGCTTAGTGGGGGCTGGAGTCCAACTGGGTCCACTAGGTATGGCGGCCACTGATTGGCCTAGTCTACCTGCCCCAGGTGATTATGATGATGGAGCATTTAGTGAAATGAAGATTGGCAGGGGAAACCGAAGTAATCGTAGAAAACCTGCCCCAGCGCCACTCTCTCCACCACAAATCTCACTTGACCAGACACGAGATCGAACCCGGGCCGCCGCGGTGGGAAGCCAGCGACTAACCGCTTGAGCTATGGCGCGGCCTCGAAAATAAGCACAGGAACTTTTTATGTCTCTTATTAATTGTTACAAGTCAGGCTCTATTCGAAACACCTACAGCCCCAGGGATTAGTGCAACCATCAAGAACGTTGCGGCCTACAGAAGGGGAACAATAGTTCGTTATGTGTGAAAGTAAAATACTCGTATAGTCGCGAGTCCATGGCAAGGGCCAGCAGCATATTCAAAAGACGGATCCGTCCTCTCGTCAGAGAGGGTGCCCCACAAAAACAAGACCGTAGCTGTGAAACTAGGGGCTCGACACCAAAACTTACTGACTGACTGACTGACTGACTGACTGACCGTCAGTCGCAATGTGACCTTGACTTTGAATTGACAGTTCAGTTTGAAGTCAGAATAGTCCAGTGGAGTGTCCAATCGAAGAAGATGACAGTCCGTCAGATAGTGATTTGTGAACTGTTGTAACCAGTTGTATAAAGGTCCAAAAATTCGATTATCAAAACCAAAACCCGTCTTATTAGTCAAGCAAAATCAGATTATGTGACAGTATTTTGAAAATATACTCTAGCAATTTCCTAATGATGACGTACAGATTTACGTCACTAACTGATGATGGCGCACTACTGTCAAATAAATATCACTCGCGAAGACAAGTCTCTTCTGAGATGTGACGCCGTATAATTTGGCACGCAGATACCAACGTTTCAGAGGAACCTGCTGCGTAAATGTTCAGGATAGAAGTATATTGCTGGATATAGCAAGTTCTTCCGAAACGTTGGTGTTTATCTACCCAAACTCCACAACATCGTACCCCATTTGCTCAATCTACTAAGAGAATGAAGTTTTTTTTTATTATTTATCATTTATTAGCAATCTGAATTTACATTCTATGAGCTAATTTGCTGTCATGTACAATAATTATTCTATTGTACTAGGTTGGCTTGAAGAGCTGTAATCCATCGATTACGCCTCAGTTTTCCTGGAGATCGTTTGGCCAAGTTCGTCTTAGTCTTCTGTATTGTGTAGGTTGAAGGAGAGCTTCTATTGCGTTGTTGGGGTGAGATTCCAGTTTCTGATAATGTTTTTGGATTCTGTCTGTGATTACGGTTCTTACATATGGGATCTTGAGGTCGGTGTGAAGAGTTTGGTTTGACACGTACCAAGGTGCGTCAACTATGGCTCTAAGTATTTTGGATTGACTTCGCTGGATGATTTCTATGTTGGATCTGCTGGCGCATCCCCAGAGCTCAATGCCGTATGTCCATATGGGTTTAATTATTGTTTTGTAGATCAGCAGTTTATTATCTATTGTTAGGTGAGATTTCCGACCTATTAGCCAATTTATTTCCTTGAACTTAATTTCGATTTGTTTTCTCTTCTTCGCTATATGGTGTTTCCAGTTTAATGTTGAGTCCAGGTGTAGTCCTAAGTATTTTACTACATCCTGCTGTTGAATGTTAACATGATTTAGATGTACTGAGGGGCAGTTGCCTTTCCTGAGAGTAAAAGTCACATGCGCCGATTTGCTTTCATTCACTTTGATTTTCCATCGGTGTAGCCATTTCTCCATTAGATTCAGATGTTCTTGTAAATTAGATGAAGCAATTACCGGGTCTTCTGACGTAGCGAAGATTGCTGTGTCGTCTGCGAACGTACCTATTTTTCTTAATTCGGTGGTCGGTATATCTGAGGTGTATAGCACGTAGAGGAGTGGACCCAAGATACTGCCCTGAGGAACTCCTGATTGTATGTTTCTTCGGTTGGATACTTCAGCGTTGATTTTTATTTCGAATTCTCTGTCTGTTAGGTACGACTGCAGTATTATGAAATATTTGGCCGGTAGAATTCTTCTGATTTTATAAAGCAGGCCTGGATGCCAAACTTTGTCAAATGCCTGGAGAATGAAATTGAGTCATAGTTTGTGACATTGATGTTACGTCATCTTTAAAATATATCTAAATATACAGAGTGATTCTAAATTATTATCGGGATTTCCGTGGCCTACAATTTTCAAACCTGAAATGACAGAATAAAACTGCTGACATAATATGAAAGTGGAACTCGAAACTTTTTATTACTTTTAGAATAATTTCTGCAGAATGCTCAACAACTTCAAGATGCGCGCCTTTCTTGGCAAGCAAGCAGTTTTATTTTGATTTCAGTTTGAATATTTTAGGCCATGGAAACCCCGAAAGTAATATAGAATCACCCTGTATATTTATATACTTATTTGGCCATAAATGTCCTTATGTTGATCGCTATGTATGTACGCGCGTAATCCTGCAAACGCCGGCAACCAGAACACGCACAATTATACAATACAGCTAAGTTTATGCGATTCGAATTATTGTGGTATTTTAAAGTTGAATGTGGACGATTTCATGTTTAGTTTTGTATATCAGCAGCGTGATGAGAAGGGATTTCGAAAGCGGCCTTTGGTATGTTAGAGCCCTGAGATGAATAAATCGAGCGGAGAAAAGAGCCAAAAGCAATCCTTCAGCAGATCAAACCGTAACTTCGCATTCTTTTCATTTGATGCTATTGCATGCTCCAGATATCGCAGCGTGCTAATAAAGAATTTATCAACCCGTGGTCCTCTGACCGTTGCCGATCGGACGGTTCCACTTAATGTCATGTTACATATTTCATGTGACAAATAGAACATGTAACATTTTACAGCTAGTGACTTTTAAGTTTCTTTTTAGCTGTTAAATTATTTACGTTGAACATTATCACTTTTCTGTTCTGAGCTTCGACCAATAAATTTATGTCTTCTTCCCGCAATCAGATGCTTGTATGTTATATATGCAGTGATGCAACATACGCATGTTGTAATGAGTTATGAATTGAGAGACATGTTTCGGAGCTAAAGCCCCAACATCATATCCAAACACTAATTACGAACTTATGTACATGTAAAATAAATTAATTTAATTTCTAATTTTACTCACTAGATCCATTTAGACAAACATAAAGAGTATTTACCTTAATAAAATATAAATATTATATTATTATAAGTGTAAATTAAAATATAAGAACTGCGATGCATAATATGAAGCTTGAAACATGAAAACATAAGCTCTCTGTGAGACCGTACGTAACAATTAGCTTTTGTTATTGACTGCAAGATAAACAGTTCAAACAACATATAAATTATTAAGCAGGAATAGTGTACATGGTATGATTACAAAAAGTTTATCTGTTTGCTTATTTGTTTACTGTTGTAGCTATGCAAGAAGGCTTTACTTCTGGTCTATACCGAATAAAAATTTCTGGAAAACAAATTGTTTTTATGATGTTGTGCATACATGATATATACGAATTGTTATTGTGGATAATTATGTCAAACCTCAGATTTTAATATGACAACAGGACAATTTTATGTTGTAAATATCTACGTACTTCCCTGGTAACACAACCTGCATTTCGCTTCCTGGTGAGGGACTGTGATGTTGGACCTACCTCAGAACTCGATATCTACGTACTTCCCTGGTAACACAGTCTGCATTTCCCTTTCTGGTGAGGGAGTGTGATGTTGGACCTACCTCAGAACTCGATATCTACGTACTTCCCTGGTAACACAGCCTGCGTTGCCCTTTCTGNACCTCAGATTTTAATATGACAACAGGACAATTTTATGTTGTAAATATCTACGTACTTCCCTGGTAACACAACCTGCATTTCGCTTCCTGGTGAGGGACTGTGATGTTGGACCTACCTCAGAACTCGATATCTACGTACTTCCCTGGTAACACAGTCTGCATTTCCCTTCCTGGTGAGGGACTGTGATGTTGGACCTACCTCAGAACTCGATATCTACGTACTTCCCTGGTAACACAGTCTGCATTTCCCTTTCTGGTGAGGGAGTGTGATGTTGGACCTACCTCAGAACTCGATATCTACCTACTTTCCTGGTAACACAGCCTGCATTGCCCCTGCTGGTGAGGGACTGTGATGTTGGACCTACCTCAGAACTCGATATCTACCTACTTCCCTGGTAACACAGCCTGCATTTCCCTTCCTGGTGAGGGACTGTGATGTTGGACCTACCTCAGAACTCGATATCTACCTACTTCCCTGGTAACACAGCCTGCATTTCCCTTCCTGGTGAGGGACTGTGATGTTGGACCTACCTCAGAACTCGATATCTACCTACTTCCCTGGTAACACAGCCTGCATTTCCCTTCCTGGTGAGGGACTGTGATGTTGGACCTACCTCAGAACTCGAAATCTACGTACTTTCCTGGTAACACAACCTGCATTGCCCTTGCCGGTGACGCTGGTGACGGACTGTGGAAGTCCGCTGGGAGCATAGATGCTCTTCTTATATCTATTCGGGAGAGTAGCCATGTGTGCATAGTGTGTCGCGCGCCCTGATTTAATGGACGGCTAATTACTGCAGGCTCAGGTGAGCATGTGGGAAAATTTGTTTGAAAGTATCTGATAATTACATATTTTTCAGTAATGTGTGCCTTCGTGTTGTATTTCTAGGTTATGAGCTCCCGTTTCACTTACATCATTCACTAACGAGAGATGTTGTTACCAGTCATGCTTTGTTGCTTACTGTTATCGAAGTCTAGTAGAGCACGAGGAAATATAGTTGAGTGATACAGGCTGTGTTAAAAACTGGACACTTTAAGTATTATAGGAATGTATTTATGGGATACGTTTCATATGAAACTTTCCAACTAAATCGAAACATAATCGGATTTTGAATATGTTATAATAAAAGTTATTAACTAGTAATTATTCGTAATATGATTATGAAAAATTCAGAATTGATAATTTTGTTATTATTTTGATGGACTATAGCCGTTTACTAACCAACAGTTCGGTAAACACCGCATAGAAGCCTGAATAATGGAGTCAAAGACGAAAATGCCATTTTTGCTAGGCAACGGTTCATGCACATCTCGGAGACGAAGCATTCATGAGGGACAGTAACGGAACCCTCGCTTGGAGGCGGTGATCCCTATTCAGTTTTATTGCAGTTATAACAGGGAGTTCGCTCGTGAATTCAAGTCATTCTTCAGAGCATTCGTAACACAGGGTTCCTGATCCATCCGTAAGAGAATCCAGAAGGAGTTCAATGTGTGAGCTGTTATAATTGGTTGGAATTGTAAAGAAGTGCCAATAAATCCAATCATCTAATCCAAAACCCATTGCTGTTAGTCACGCTGACCCTCATGCGTAACATTATCATAATAATCGGTTATTAACTTCTATCGTAACATGCCGTTTTAATGTAACCGAGTCTATCATTCCTCCCAATATATGAATAATATTTATAATCGTGGAAGTCAGTGACAAAGGATATTTCTGATACTCTGCATATTAGGCTTGCAGGGTGCCAGAAAATTACCCACGTATAGTTGAGGCTGAGGGGGATATTGGGCCCAAGGAGGAGAAGTTACAGATGACTAGAGAAGGCTGCATCGTGAGCAGATACGTAAGTTGCATGCGTCTCGCTGAATATTGTCAGAGCAATGAAATGAAGAGGACTTAATGGACGGAGAATGCGGTATGCATGTGAGAAACTAAAAATGCAAACAAGATTTTGATGGGGAGACAAGAATAGAAAGAGATAATTTGGAGGACCTAGGCATAGATGAGACATCAATATTAAAGTCCATAAAAGTACATTNGAATATTGTCAGAGCAATGAAATGAAGAGGACTTAATGGACGGAGAATGCGGTATGCATGTGAGAAACTAAAAATGCAAACAAGATTTTGATGGGGAGACAAGAATAGAAAGAGATAATTTGGAGGACCTAGGCATAGATGAGACATCAATATTAAAGTACATATTAATAAACAGAAAGGGAGAATGTGGACTGGATTAATTTAGCTCAGGATAAAAATCATTCATGGGCTTTGTGAAAGCGGTAATGAATTTACTGGTTCCGTAAGAAACTCAGATTTTTTTGACTAACTGAGCGGCTTACATTTTAAGAATAACTCAGCCCCAAGGACTTTGTTTTGTGGTAAAAATAAAAACTTTCTCTAAAGGTTGATATAATTTTCTGCTGTATACAGAAGTAAGGACATTATTTCGGTTCAACACTCACTCACTCGTGGAGCTGAGCCCTTCTTGAGAATCCACCAGTCACACAGCTACTCAAGAACTTCCCAATATTTTACGGAATCCAAAGGTTCATTACCATTTTCACGAGATCCCCTCACTGGTCTGTATCGTGAGCCAGATCAATCCAATGCCTATCATCCCACTCTATCTCTCTAAGATCCATTTTGATATTATACACTCACCTACGTCTTGGTCTTCCTAGTGGTCTCTTTCCTTTTGGCTTTACCACCAATATCCTATATGCAATCTTCTTCTCCCTATTCGTGCTACATATCCTGCCCATCTTATCCTCCTTGATTGTTTCAGTTCATTACTCACTCTCTCATTCACTCGTGGAGCTGAGCCCTTCTTGAGAAGCCGCCAATTCTGCAGCTACTCAAGGATTTCCAAGGATTTTTATGGAACCCGAAGGTTCATTAATCTGTTCACAAGAGCCTTCCATTGCTCCCAATCCTAAGCAAGATCAATCCAAACCATACCATCCCATCCTGTCTCTCGCTTCGGCGGTACATGCACTCAAATTGGAATGACCATTTCGGTTTACACATAAAGAAAACAAATTTTGCTTAAATAATCGCGCATGTTTCAATTTACTTTGTAGGAAATATGTCTCGAGACGATATCCCTCATGATTCAGCAGTATTGCTTTTAGTTCTTGAAGCTGGTACTCATTTTGTTCAGCGCATGACTGACCCACCCCTGACATTTAACCGTGCTTAGGAATAACATTGCACTTTCTCGTGATCTCACAAGGAGACGGACTCTTGGACGAAATTAAAACAAACATATAAATGCAATAATTTTGCAGAAAATTTGTTCAAAAATCGAAAATTACTACCGAAAATTCTAGCCAGATTTAAGGATAACTTAAATTATGTTTCCATAATTTAACACAGAAATAATTTAACATCTTAAATCATGTTTAATCAATTACATCATCCTTATGTCTTACATTTGGTCTCACAGATAATTCGTGGTAATATTTTATGTTATTGCCTTCTGCGGAAATAAATTTCCTATTGAAATTAATTGCCCATATCTAATATTTCTGAAATAGTTGGACTTAAATATTTTAATAATGTTATTACTATAATATCTGAAGAAAAAGAGACAATTTGGAAAACACTGCAATGGATTCAAATACGTTATTAAAATTGATCTTATTATTTTTTTATTGCTAGTGAGGTGGGACTAAGTCCCTTGTACTGCGGCCACTTCTGGCCCATTGTACCAGCCCCAGATGATAGGTGAGGGTGATTGTGGAGCAATTGGTGGAATGAAGATTGGCAGGGGAAACCGAAGTACTCTGAGAAAACCTGCCCCAGCGCCACGTTGTCCTTCACAAATCTCACTTGACCAGACCCGGGATTGAACCCGGGCCGCCGCGGTGGGAAGCCAGTGACTAACCGCTTGAGCTATGGCGCAGCCCAAAATTGATCTTCAGTCAATAAGGTGGGAATATGTGGTGTCATTTCATCTGCCTCATAGCATAGACCAGTGGCCGGTTTTCCAGATGAACGCTCTAAATATACTGATCATTCTTAATTAGCTGAGAAAATATTAGATTTTCAGAAAATACTCTGATCGATAGAGTAGCAATTTCATTATAAATGACAAATTGGTAAGGCCAATGAAATATTCTCGGGTCATCGGGTATGTCAGTTGAGTACAAATGACCCAGAAGATATCATCAACTTCAGTAACCGTTTCAGGTGTTCCATAAACTCACTTCAGATCTTGCCTAAAAGTGTGGAAGATATCGCTTCTGATCTGTTTTAAGGTATAATCGCATCATTTGCTTCGAGTAACTGAGGACAATCACGGCAAACTGAGTTCAGGGGAGAATCGTGTGGGGTCTCTCAAAGCAGAATTCCGAACAACACTGTCGGTGTTTGGCAGCCTCTCTTATCATATTCCTATTGCGAAATTATTGGGAGTTTGTGCTGAAGTCTTCTCTGGCGATCAAACTTGTAAATAATGAATTAGAAGCCAATGCCTCGGAGATCTGCTGTGCCTCCTTCATCAGGGTTTATGTGACCAATAACCATGCGTCGGTGACATCAGTTGGTCAGATCGATTCATCATCTTGCTAGAGCACTGTGCAGCAGAATATATTGGAAATGAATAGGCTAAAAGAGCAATAGAACACAGATCTCAGGGAAGAAGAAATATCGGAAGACCTGAAAGAACGTGGTCGGATAAGCTATTAACAAGTTCTTGTGACTTAAACTTTGACAATACAGATGATAAAGAGGATTCACGACCTTACGTAAATTGTCTGAAGCGGTTAATACGTAACACAAAGAGATCTCAAATTAATTTCACCATTACTTCCAAGTATAATTAGAATGATAAAGTCAAGAAGGATGAGGTGGCCAGGTCATGT